GGTTAAGGACAGGTGAGTTTACTGGCCAATTAAGAACAAGGATTCCATGGTCCTTAAACCAGGAACTAGTAGCTTTGGCACAGTGTGCAGGCGCCAAGTCCTGTTGGAAAATGAAATCTGCATCCCTATAAAGTTGGTCAGCAGCAGGAAGCATGAAGTGCTGTAAAACTTCCTGGTAGACGGCTGCGTTGACCTTGGACCTCAGAAAACATAGTGGACCAACACCATCTGATGACATGGCACCCCAAACCATCACTGACTGTGGAAACTTGACACTGGATCTCAAATAGCATGGATTCTGTGCCTCTCCTTTCTTCCTCCAGACTCTGGGACATTGATTTTCAAAGGAAATGCAAACTTTACTTTCATTTCACATGAACCTAACTTTGGACCACTCATCAAGAGTCCAAGGCGAGACGCTTCTGACGTTGTCTCTTGTTCAAGAGTGGCTTGACACAAGCAATGCGACAGCTGAAACCCATGTCTTGCATATGTCTGTGAGTGGTGGTTCTTGAAGCACTAACTCCAGCTGTAGTCCACTCTTTGTGAATCTCACCCACATTTTGGAGTGAGTTTTGTTTCACCATTCTCTCTAGGGTGCAGTTATCCCTATTGCTTGCACACTTTCTCTACCACATCATTTCTTTCACCTCTCTATTAATGTGCTTGGACACAGAGCTCTGTGAACAGCCAGCCTCTTTAGCAATGACCTTTTGTGTCTTGCCCTCCTTGTGCAAGGTGTCAATGGTCGTCTTTTGGACAACTGTCAAGTCAGCAGTGTTCCCCATGATTGTGTAGCCTACAGAACTAGACTGAGACCATTTAAAGGCCTTTGCAGGTGTTTTGAGTTGATTAGTTGATTAGAGTGTGGCACCAGCTGTCTTCAATGTTGAACCTTTTCACAATAGACTAATTTTCTGAGATACTGAATTTGGGGTTTTATTGGTTGTCAGTTATAAAGATCAAGATTAAAAGAAATAAACATTTGGAATATATCAGTCTTGTGTGTAATGAATGAATATAATATACAAGTTTCACTTTTTGAATGGAATTACTGAAATAAATAAACTTTTTCATGATATTCTAATTTTATGACCAGCACATGTACTGAGAGCCTAACAGTAATTATTTATTTTTGTTTCAAACTTGAAAACGCTGATCAATATTTTTTGTAATTTTTCTCTGATTCCTTCAACAGCTTGTCATATTGTTTAAAAAAATAACATGGACTCATTGTTATTCTACTGTATCTGATTGCCTACAGAAAAACGTTACTGAAGTTCCAAGAAAAAGTAATGTAACTGTGTTGATGAAATACTAATACTGATATGGTTGGGCAAGCTCATAGAAACAACTGTGACTTTGTACATTTAAATACCATTTTATTTTTAATTAATAGATGAAACATTCTATAAAGTGCAAATGCTAAAACCAAATGTAGTATTTTTAGTCCAGTTTTCATTAAGACACAGCATCTTTAAAAAAAGTGGGTCAGCTTATATCATATCATATTAATTATCTTACAGCTTCAAATACAAACAATCAATGAAACAACAATTTCAAAAAATGTGTTTAAAAAAGGTTTGGTCCTGTGAATTGTACCTTTAGGTACAGAAGTAAAACCCTCATTTGCTCTATGCAAAGCCTGGAAAGAACACATTACATATAAATTACAAAAGATTTCACAAAACATAATTAGTCAGTATTCATTATTATAATCCTGATCAGCATTATTTGCACCTCTCAAGTTTAAATACATAATTTAGAAAATATCCTGAAAAAATAATCAACTAAAGCAGCTTTTTTCTACTGATAACTTGTGTTTAGTGCAAAAGAGCAAATGATGAAAAAAACAAAACCTAACAAACAAGTGTGGAAACACATTCTGCCTCACCTGTGTTAAAATGTTAAAATAGAAATGAGAATAACCTGTGATAAACTGTCAGTGCTCATGTGGCATGAATGAGGACATTACTCTTTCAAAAAGCCACATTATTCTTTAATTGTTACAATGGTGAAGACAAAGGAGTAAGATACCAGAACGGCTATCAATAGCAAACACATGACCTCCAAAGGGTATAAGACCATCTCCTTTAACCTTGGTACCCCATTTTCAACAGTGCACAATGTTATCAAAAAGTTTGCCAAGCATGAAACTATGAAGAACCTCCCTGACTTTTGATGAAAGAGAAACATTGATGAGTGAAGTGTCCAAAGGTTGGTGCAAATGAGAGGAAAGAAACACCATGTCTAACATCCAAAGACCTAAAGGCCAGCCTGGAACAGTCTGGGGTCTGGGTTTCTACAAGTACCATACGGTACACTAAACCACGCAGGCCTTAACAGGCGAAGACCCAGGAGGAAATCATTAATAGAAATAAGACACAGATCGACTGATCCTTGTCAAAGAGTATCAGGACAAACCAGTCTTTCTGGGATTTTTTTCTGAGGACAAATGAAACAAAACTCAAGCTTTTCGTCAATCCACACCAACAGTTTCTTTACAGATGACGCAATAAAGTTTATAAGAAAATAACACACTACTCACAGCTAAGCATAATGGAGGATCCCTAATGCTGTGAGGCTGCTTTGCTGCAACTGGCACTGGAGACCTTGACTGTTTTAAAGGAATAATGAAATTGGAAAATTACCAAGCAATTTTTGAGCAAAATGTCCCATCCAGTGTAAGCAAACTTGGTTTGAGGCTAAAGTCATTGGTCCCTCGGCAAGACAAAGATCTGAAGAACTCATCCAAAAGCATGCAGGAGATAAGTTAAGATAGAACTTTATTGATCCCACAGGAAATTGTTGAAGTGGGAAAAGGAAAAAAAAATCACTAATTTTTAAATGGCCAGCAATGAGTCTTGAGCTCAATCCCACTGAAAATCTTTGGCATGAGCTAAAGTTTGCTATTAGGGAACAGAGCCCTGCAAACATTCAAGAGCTTATGAATGATAATGATTATAAAAGATCGGAGATTGTCACTGCTTCCAAAGTGGGAGCAACCAGATATTTAAAAGGGTTACCAATGTTGCTGCCCATGCAGTTTTTAAAGTTTCTTTATTTAAATTAAAACTTGTACGTTGAAAACAATGTTTTGTGTTGTATTACTTTGGACAGCCAATTGATGTTGTAAATTTGGTAAATTTCCATTTATTTCTAAAGATATTGAACATGTTACTCAAGTTTAGAAATTATTGTAGGATCTGATTTGTGTTTGAAGATAAGATATAATCCATCCATCCATCCATCCATTATCTTTACCCGTTTATTCCATTTTGGGTCACGGGGGTCGCTGGTGCCCATGTCCAGCAATCACTGTGCGAGGGGCGGGGTACACCCTGGACGGGTCGCAAGTCCATCACAGGGCCACATAGAGACAAACGAGACAAACAACCATTCACTCTCTCACTCACACCTAGGGACAATTTAGAGTTACCAATCAGCCTAACATGCATGTTTTTGGTCTGTGGGAGGAAACCGGAACACCCGGAGAAAACCCACGCATGCACGGAGAGAACATGCAAACTCCACCCAGAAAGACCCCTGGACCGGGGTTTGAACCAAGGACCTTCTCGCTGAGAGGCAGCATAAGATATAATAAGATACGATAAGATATAATAAGATAAGATACGATACGATATAATAAGATAAGAGAAGAGAAGAGAAGAGAAGAGAAGATATAATAAGATAAGATACGATAAGATAAGAGAAGATAAGAGAAGATAAGAAGAGAAGAGAAGATAAGAGGAGAAGAGAAGAGAAGAGAAGAGAAGAAAGAACTTTATTGATCCCGCAGGATATTGGTGTTGAACTGCTTGACTTTTGGTATAATTTTCATAATTTCTGACATAATTTCCACAAAGTTTTCCAGACACTTTATCTACTGCTGTTTGAGGAGGTTCAGTCTAAATGTAGAGCTCACAAAAGGAGAAAAAGTACAACCTGTTTTAATGGCCTCAGATAATAAACATCAACTTTGAACTTCTCTTGTTTTATCTCATTATATTTTGTGTCAACACTCACAACATCCTAATAATGAGAGGGTCAAGCTTTTGAGATCGAAGCACATTTTGTCTTTTTCATTTATGTTATATAATTCCATCTAAGCTGAATTTAATTATACTGCCTAGGTACATAACTGCAGATGTTGGATGCTGTCTATCACGGTGCGCTAAGATACATAACTGGCTGTGATCATCGTACCCACCACTGCACCCAGTATTCACTGGTTAACTGGTCTTCATTAACTTCACGCAGACTCTCTCACTGGTACATTTTCATCTTTAAATCACTTCTTGGTCTGCTGCCTTCATACATCTCCTCCTACATGTCTCTGCGTGAGTGCAGCTACAGCGTGCACTCTCAGGTCATTATTACCTGCAGTGTTCCCTCAGTGCAAACTGAACTTGGCAAAAGGGCCTTCTCCTACTCTGCTCCCGTTTCCTGGAATATCTTGCAAAAAGATCTGAAGCTCTCGACCTTGACCTTTCTAAGTGGCTTTAAGCATCTGTTGGACTCCTGGCAAGAACCAATGCAGACATGTTTCTGTTTTTAGTTTTCTACATTCGCCTTATAATCTAGCTGTTTTTGCAACTTTTTTTTCCATCCTATTTTAATTTGTTAAAAAAAAAAATCTGTATGCCTCTTTATGATTGTCTGTTGTTGTCGTTGTTGTCCACTGTTGTCATCACTCTTTGTTGAAATCAGATCTCTTCCAAATGAGTCCTCTAGGCTCAATGGGATTAACTTAACCTGTCTAAATAAACGTTGAATGAATGAATGAATTTGAAAAGCTTATTATGTACATTTTAAAGCTCTGTGTAAGTGATTGTACACTGTGTGTTTGACATTATTAAAAATTGTTGTCTAGTTTCCAGGATTTTGTTACCAAAGTACGCAATAAAGATCATATTATATGTATCTTGACGAGTGTTTAAAATAATTTGCAGCGTCTCCATCCTTTTCAAAGGCTTAAGGGAGTTTCTAAATCCAAACTTTTAGTCAGGCCACAGGAAAATCATCCAACAACGAATGCACCGCATCACACAACACCCGCCATCCTTCTGCAACATAAAGCACAATATCACAGATTAGTGTGAAACAATCATAAACAAACCAACAAAAAGAGAATACAAAATACTCCCGGAGGTCATTTACTTGTATGTTATAAATTACCTGTATAGGGGAATGGCAGCCAGGGCAAGCTTTTGTGTTTACAGCCTTCCATTCCTCGCTCAGATCTGTCATAAAAAACTGCAGCATTTTCTTTCCGTATCTTTTCTTCAGAAGTTTCCGCCTTTCCCTACTGCCAGCAGCATAATCATCCTGAAGTGCCTTCCTCCCCTCTGAGGTATAAAGATACAGAACAAGAACAGCCTCAGAGATGCACATCTGCCATCCCAATCATAGATGCCACCTAAGAAACCTCAAATTACTCTTAAGACCTCAACTGCTTTGGAACTATCAAATGATTTTACCGGCAATTTATTTTACAATTATTTTAGCACTAATGATTTTACTGAGGAGCTTTCTGATTTTAAAAACGCCATCAGGTGCTACAGTACATATTGACAATGGAAGAGTGTTTAACATTTTTTAAAAGACCAAAGAAAGGAAAAGCTCAGGCCCTGATGGCAGAGGGTCATATTCTTAAGAACTGTGCCCTGCAGCTAGCAGACTTTTTTATTTTTAACACGTCTCTCCAAACTTATAGGATCCCCCAGCTTTGGAAAGACACTGTTATTGTTCCAATCCCAAAAAGTAAGATTGCTCAGCCACTAAATGATTTCAGGCCTGTTGCCCTGATTTCATTTGATAAAACTTGTTCAGGAGGTCATCTTGTCGAAAGTTAAACATTTGGACGCACTTTAGTTTGCTTATCGGACACGTAGAGGGGTTGAGGATACAACAAGAACTCTTTTAAATATGATGTTTAAGACATTTAAAAAGGTTAAAAAAAATCCTTGGTAAGATTGCTTTTTATTGACTTTTCATTTGATTTTACTTGTATTCAACTCCACATTTTAGCAGAGAAATGATAATGTTTTGATTGGTCTTGATTCTAGCCTCATATGTTGGTTTGTGGCTTTTTAAACTGTGTGGTCTCAGCATGCGCAGGTCAGTGGGGTTCTCTCTGATGTTGTTTTGTCCTCTACCAGTTTCCCTCAGGGCTGCAATCTTTTGCCACTTTTATTTATTTTATATATGAAAGATTGTCGCAGTCATTATCCACAATGTCACATTGCAAAGTTTGCCGATGACTCTGTCATCCTATCCCTTCTCAGCAGTGATGATCCTGAGACTGATGAGGTGGTGCATCAGTATAAATATCTGGAAACTGTTCTTGATGACTAACTGACTTTTAACAAACGTGAACTCACTCTGTAAAAAGGCTCATCACAAAATGTATTTTTGTTGAAAGTTCTTTGGGTTTAATAATGATTCTACTTTTGTGAGGATGTTTTATCGAGTTTCTTGTTTTACCTTCATCTGTTGGTTTGAGTTTTTAACATGTAAGAACAGGGACAAATTCTTAGGGATTGTCAGGATGTGCAGCAACATTGCTGGTATAGCCCTTCAGAACATCACTGATCTACACAAGGTGATGTCAGTGGAAAAAGGTCAGGCCGATTCTGGCAGCTCCTATTCACCCATGGTGAGTTCAGGTTGCTTCTGTCCGGACGCAGGTATCTGTTGCCCAGATGTAGAATGAACAGACTAAAAAACTAATTTATTCCTATAGCAATCAGGCTTCTCAATAAACAGTGGTGATTTCTGTACTGTTATTTTAGTGTCTTAATGTTTTGTCAAGTATGAATGTTTTATATGGCTACTGTGAAACACATTACCCCTTGGGGATAATAAAGATTCTTAAACTTACAACTTTTTTCTTGGCGATTATCTCAAGCAGAAAAACTATGATGTATGGAACCATGAACTTTAGCCATTAGCTAGGTTTCGAAGAGTGGAGACATTGGTTATAAGGATCTGAGGTTATTTTCATCATGTGGACTGATCACAAGAACCTGGTCTACATTCAAAATGATAAGACTAAACTCAAGGCAAGCCTGTTGGTCATTTTTCTCTGCCAGATTCAATTTCACCATAATCTATAGACCCAGTTCAAGAACTGTCAAACCAAATACTCGATCCCATCAGTTCTCTTCTTCAGTTTTCCCTAAAGAAAATATTATTCCTTCTTCGTGCACAGTTGGGAGCTATGACAGAGACCATTGAGAAGGACATCAGACAGGACCAACTAAACAAGCCTGATCCCAGCATTGGTCCTCCTGGAAAGCTTTTTGACCCTGTCGGTGAAGGGTAAGGTTCTGGACTTGATACACACTTCAAAATTCACCTGCCATCCTGGTATAAACCACAAGCTATTCTTCACTAAAATACATTTCTGGTGGCCCTCATTGAATAATGATATTAAGGAGTTTATTGCAGCTTGTCCCTCTTGTGTCCAGAATAAAAGCAGCAACCAACCTCTAGCTGGGCTCCTCCAACCATTACCTACTCCTGGTCATCCTTGGTCCCACATCACAATAGATTTCATTTCTGGAATACCTGCATCAGAAGGTAACATACCAGTAGTCATACTCACCATCATGGACAGGTTTTACAAAGTTGCATACTTTGTTCCTTTGTCTAAGCTCCCCTCTGTGTTGGAGACTGCTGAAATCCTGGTTCTTCACATGCTCTGTCTTCCATGATATTCCCTACGGTGTAGTCTCTGATAGAAGTCTACAGTTCATCTCTGAGGTGTGGAATTTATATATTTATTTATTTATTTATTTATTTATTTTTGTCAGGCTCTAGGAGCTATATCTAGCCTTACTTCAGGTTACTACTCCCACCCCCCCACCCCCAGTTTAGTAGCCAAACTAAGATATGTAATTAGGAACTGGAAGCTGCCTTGAGAACAATCTCTCCACTTGATGTCCACACTTACCTTGGGTAGAATATTCTACTCTCACCTCCTCAGTTACTGGTTTGTCCCCCTTCAAATTATCTTTGGAATATTCTCCTCCTCTGTTCCCCAGCCAGGAGTCTGACATATTGGTCCCCTCAGTCCAACATCGTCTTTGCAAATGCCAGAGTTTGGCAGTAGATCAAGGAGGCCATCCTGCGTACTGCTGAACAGAATGAATGGTTCAGAGATAGGCACAGGTCTTCAGTCTCTACTTAGCTGGTAGGGCAAAAGGTATGCCTCTCCATCAGGGACATTAACATTAAGGATACACCAAAGAAACTTACCCCTACGTTAATCTGTCCTTTCCCTATTGTGAAAATCATCAACCCATCCACTGTCAGATTTAAACTACCTCTTTCCATGAGTATCCATCCCACATTTCACAGATCAGACCAGTATTAGAGAGTTCTTTAAGCCCTTCTTCCAACTTTCATCCATCCCCTGGCTCATCGACAATCATCCTGCTTTCTCACTATGACATACTCTGGATATACGCCATAGGGTTCGGAGATTCCAGTACCTGGTGGATTGGGAGGGATACAGTCCTGAAGAAAGATCATGGATCCCCAGGTCTTTCATGGTCAACCCCAGCCTAATCTCTTTTGTCAGGGCTACCCAAGAACCATTTTAGATCGCCTAGAGGCAATTTTTGAGATGGGAGGTGGGGGGATTCCAGTGTTCTTTGTAACCACTTCTTTTCTACTTCTGAGTGGCAGGGCGGAGCCATACCAACACAGCTGATCCTGGCTGATAAGCACCTGGTGTACTTGAGGACATACGGATCAGTTCCTCTCTGCTGGAAAATTATACTACAAATTCGTAACTAGTTACAGCCTTATCTAAGAGAAACTAAACTGTGTATTTCCTTGTTCCTCCTAGTCCTAACTCTGTGGTTCCTCCTCATGGAAATCCAGACTCCTTTTGCCTGCTAAGCAGAACTCCTCCACAGAACATCTTCATGGATATCACCAGTCTCCTCGTCATCAGCCTATAACATCTCTGGATCAGTCAATGAGTTCCATCTTGCCACTCCAACTTGTTCTACTCACCTTTCTCACCAAGTGCTTCCATCCACCTGGGATCTTTCACCCTCCTCTCCAGGCCTACCAAACAAAGGGCAAAGTAAGGGATCTTACTTCATCTTGGACATTGTACAAAGTATTATCACTTCAACTAAGATACTTGCATAACTGTCCTCCATTCCCTTCCAGATCTTACCTAAACCCTTTCAACAATGTAAATAAAATCACTTGAATATGTCGGTCTCTCTGTCAGTCCACACTTCTGTGGGTACTAAAATATTTTCACAACGCCCCCTGTCCTTCACTGTAGCCTACTATGTATACTGCATGTTGCTATATACAAAGTACCTTTGGACTGTGGAAAAGTTAGCAGAAAGTCTTCCCTCGTGGTTTTGGGTTCCTCTTCATAGCATTTGTTATTTCCATGGTAGGTCTTCTTGCAGTTAACACAGAAAGCAAAACTACACACAGAGCACATTGCCACACTGCTGGACTTTTCTGAGATGACGGGAGAACCACACGAACTCCGAGGACAGTATGTCACATCTAAAATGACAAGGAACAAAAATAAGAGATGAGCAGCATTTTCCAATTATTTTCAATGTTTACAATAAATAAGTCATTGTGAAAGAAAAACTAACATACCAGGCATGCGGTCCAGTGTAGATTGCAGAAGAAGACGTTCATATCTGCTAAACAGTTCCTCTCCTACAAGACTTTTCACCTGTGAAAAAATGAATTTAAGAAGCAAAGTGTGAAAAAAGAAACAAGTAGAACCTAAAAGATGTATTCTTCCTTGGCTCAGTGTTTTAGCAAATTTAAAACAACAATTTCACAAATGTGTTACTGGTGTGTGAATCTGCACATGTATAAACAACTTGAAGGCAAGAAAAATGTTTATCTTTTGTTTAAGTAATACTGTTAAGCACCTTTTTTTTTTTTTACATTTCCACTTTAGTACATTTCAAAAAGGTTACTTTTCACTCTATATATGACAGTACCTGTGGAGGTATTGGGGTCACAGTGCAGCTCTCTTGAGGACAGATGACATTCTGGACAGTCCCTTCTGTAATTTGAACTTTATAAAAGTTGCTGAGACAAGCCCGGCAGAAGATGTGACCACACTCATACAGCTGCACACACTCGGATCCAAGCCAGTCCATATAACAAACCCCACAGTTGAAAACAGTGGTGGCAAACACCTTCTGTTTCTGTTCTACATCATAGATCAAAATCTGGGACAGGAGCTTCTGTGATGGAGTTAAAAAGATACCATAGGAGTTTTTTTCATTGTTCAGGGGTATTTTTGTGGGTTGGACTGGCGAAGAAGTCAGCTCTGTTGCCATTACTGATGTAGAAATATCTGATTTATTTGAAACATCTTCCTTGTTGATTTGGACAAACTCGGAAAATGGAAGAAGTTCGGATGTATCTGCTCTCAAAGAGAGGACATTCTGGTTGTCAGCTTTAACATTTAACAGGATATTGTCAGGTGACACAGACTTGTCTGATCCACAGGGGTCAGATACATCGATGGATTCTGATTTTGGAGTGTTCTTGTTATCCTCTACTGGTGACGGATCAGGATCGTGTTTGTCCTGTTCTTCTGGCAGAGTACTGGGTTGATCTGAAGGAAGTTCCAGCAGATTATGGATGCTCAGGAGCTTCAGGGCGTCTTCTCTCAGAAACTGTATCCAGGAGAATAGCACTACAGCACCCTCTGTGGCCTTGTAGAGATCAATGAGCTGAGCACGCAGTGAAGCCAGCTGATGACATAACAAGTAAAAATGTTAATCTGTCCAGATGACATGAGTGAACTATTTTTTGTGTTTTTTATTGAGATTCTAAATTCTATATCACTTTGACCTTTTGCCTTTATTCATTACCTGTATGGGAGTCAACCAGATGCAGGTGAGCGAAAAGGAGGGAGGGGCAGAGGAGGGGTAGTCCACAGGAAGTTCAAAGGTCAGGAGCACGGGTGGAAGGAATGAAATTTCATACTGCCCTGTACAGAAAAAAATGGGATACAATTATTCAAAGTTCAACAGAAAGGAGTGGATTAAAAAGCTAGAATATTGCTAAAATATTATTCAAGAGAAACAAATGAATGTTTGTCTGTAAACATATTGTTTGACAATAAAACAAAAGTTTTTAAAGAGTAAACTATGTTTAATGAGGTACCAAAAAAGCCTTTCATTATCCTTTTTTTAAAACCCTGACACTGGGTTTTATGTTTAGAAAAAGAACTACTGAACTTAAACATGTGCTGGAGTAAAAAATAAATAAATAAAAATACACTGAAGAAGAAGAGGGAGAAGATGACGATGATGATTTATTCCACATTGTAGAAATTACAGAGGTGGAGTGGACCGCACCAGAAAAAAACATCAGAAAGTTAGAAAATATAAATCAAATAACATAATAATCACACAATATATTCAAATAAATGAACTGAAACAAAATAGGTACCGGTACTGTATTTCACAGAGATTAGTTTTGTTGTCCATAATGGATGTCAGCTTTGACAACACCCAGTTCATTCATTCATTCAACCATTATGTACACAGGTTAATCTCACTGAGTTAGAGGACTCATTTTCAAGACAGACCTGTTTTAGACAATCCACAGATAATGTACAGGGAACAATAAACAGCCATAAAATGCATAAAAAATAAAAAGTAAATAAAAGTTTTTTTTTGTAAATAAAAGTAGTGTTAAAAACCAAATTTTCCTACGATTTGGAGTTTAAAAATAGCAAGATCTCTATTTATTACAACTCTTAGTAGATTTTCTAAATATTTGTTGTTAACGTCCAAATCTTGCATTTAAAAAACATATTTACCACCGTTCAGCACCACGTTAAAGTCTACAGGAAGATCTACAGGCACTCGGATTTCTCCGGCAAACTCCGACTCCTTCCGGACGAACTCCTCCGAACCGAAGATACTCTGCAGAGCGAGCAGCTCGTCCTTCTGTTCCTCCAGGTCCGTATTCATTCCTTAAACCTTTCTCCACAAACTTGGTGGAAAACAACTTGTTTGTAAAAAAAAAAAAAAAAAAAAAAAAAACGAGTTTCTTTTTATTTGGTGTGTTTCTTACAGAGGAAGGCGAACAGAGCTTCAGCTGTTTACTCGGACTTCAGCCGGCTTCCTGGTCCATTTGTGCCCTTCCCTCTATGAGTCACAACTAACGCATGATGCAAAACAGCGAGATGCCGCAGCAACCCCAGCCCAGATCCGGTGTTTCGTTGCACCTGTTCGAGGCCTCCGCCCTAAATGCACCGAAAGACTCCAACGTTATGCTTCAGATATTTTTTATTTTAATGCAAAAGGAATAAAATGTCGTACTGCCTCGGTAATTACGTTTTAGTAAGAAAAAATATAAAGATAAAATAAGGTAAATGTAAACAAAACATTGACATACGTCTCTTTCAAAATGTGATTTGATTATCAATCAACCTTTATTTATACAGGTATAAATAAATTAAGAGAATAATTGAGAAACCCAACATTTTTCAGTCAGGTCATCTGGACAGTTGTTTTTTTGTGCTGAAACGTTTCACCTTCGATCCAGAAGGCTTCATCAGTCAAGGAAACACACAACAAAACTGATTCTTCCCCCAACAGCTTACTCCAAAGTAGAACAAACCAGTTCTGCTTGTGATAAGATGGTCGCTTTGGTACGCCCCTCCTCCATTGCCGGCCCTCTTCCTATAATAATTGAGAAACTATTGGATGATTGGTAATTAAATGGTAAAAAAAACAGAAGAGTTTGCTTGAAAATATACTGTGTGTACCTTACTGTAAATGTTTATTATTTTATTGTGTTCACAAAAAAGAAACAACACACACAAAGGAAAATGGAAAAACAAAATGTGCAGGAGAGGTCATAAAAACCGAAAATGGGCTTACAACACCCCCCCCCCCCCCCCACACACACACACACCCAAGAGAATAAAGAAAAAATCATAAATGTACATAAGCTACATCTTACTTTAAACGCACACAAATACAATAGCCCATAATAAATTAAAATTGACCTAAATCTTAAATAAATAAATAAACAATCAATGTACGTGTGTTAAAACAACTCTAGAAACCTTTTTTTCAACTTTCTTTGAAATGCAGATAAAGTTGTACAAGACTGATGATTCACTAAGTTGTTTTGAACTGTTCCACAGCGCAACACTTTGATGCACAAATGAAAATTTAGCAACAGTGGTTCTACAGAAGGGGATATGTAAATCATACCTCAGAGTATGAATGATAATAAGACTTAAAATCAAAGAAATTATGAGAATAAATATAACATATTACATATGACTTTATGCATCGAGACTCCCGTTTGATACTTATTCGTATCATAAATAGTTAGTATTTGTAATTTTTTAAACAAAGGTGTGTGTGAAGCTGAATGTGGAGTTACTAACAATTCTTACAAAAGCCATTTAAAGTAAAGGTGCCATGTGTTGTCATCGTTGTAGGGAAACATACAATAATGAAATTAGTTATCTTAACCCATCACACATGAGATACAGCCATGTGGCGCAGTGGGCAGCTGTGTAAGGGGATTGGGTGTCTTGCTCAAGGACTAAACGACATGTGGGTATACATGGTGGGGAGCAGAGCCTGCAACTTTCTGGTCCCAAGTCGGCTGTCCTATTTCTACACCATCTTGGCTCTGTAGAAATTTAGAATTTCTCTAATTTTTTTCTGAGTCAAATCATTTTTCATTTGGTGATTCTGGGATACAATCAACTACAATGTTGTTCCTCCTGGACTAGTTTTCAGAGAGTCAGCTTTGGCCATCCATTGGTTGTTCTCAGCTTTCAGCCTCTGCATTAGATGGAAGATGTTTGATAGTACCAGTTGTCAAGGACTCTAGTGGTTTTCAACTCATCGACGTATTTTTGAAAGTATTCTAGGCTCCTTTTGAGGTCCTGTACTTCTCTATTCAAGTCATCACAGAATTTATTTTGGGAATCATGGATAATTTGCACAAAACTCTTGAAGTTGTTTTTTTTTTGGTTTGTTTAATTAGGTCATTATAAAAGGATTTTTGTTGCTCCGAGAAGTCACACACACAGTTGAGAAAGAAACAAGGTCATCATCACACTTTTTACGTAGCATTTTTCCAAATAGACAGTTTAAATGAGAAACTACTACCAGTCACGTTACCAGGCAGCCTGGGCCTGGTAGAACCTGGGCCTGGTGGTGGCCAGGTCTGGTGGAACATGGGCCTGGTAGCTGCCAGTGGATCCTGGGCTTGCTGCTGTTACTCAAGTTCTCAAGTTTTTACAACTTTTACTTAATTGTCTTCGGAATGATCTTAACCGTTTGTTAAAGAAGCCAGGTCTGGTTGTTTTAATGCAATCAAAATGTGATTTCACTTAATGCATTTTTTTATTGTTCAAAAAGACCACCAGATTTAACAGAATGTTCCAATAATCAAAGATCAATGACTATTCAAAACAGAAATCCCACAAACAAGAAAGATTGGCACAAACATACAGTAGCTCAAAGGTGATTAGTGATAAGTGCACTTGTTTTGTGAAGATCAGAGATACATCAGTTCACTTTAGATGAGTAAAACAAGTTATTTGCATGCTAAGTTCAAAAATTCATCAGTTGAAACTGTAGTTTTCTTTCAAGTTGACTGGAATTTCCAAGACCTCCTCCGCCTTACTCACTGGCTTGAGTGCCGTTGAGGTTTTCTTTGTGACAGTCGGTGGCAGGGGGACAAACTTGGATTCTTTGATAGTTGAGGGACTGGGAGCACTTTGGGATTCAAACACAAGACTCTTCTTGACGCCACGAGCACATGCTATATAGAGAAAAGCAAACAGATAAAGCATTCACACACATTGTTCATCTAAAATATATAAAAAATGTCATCTTTTGCGGATTATCTTAATGTATATACATATACACATATGTATATATATATATGAGGCTATATATATATAAATGTATATATATATATATATATATATATATATATATACACAAACCGGATTCCAAAAAAGTTGGGACACTAAACAAATTGTGAATAAAAACTGATTGCAATGATGTGGAGGTGCCAACATCTAATATTTTATTCAGAATAGAACACGGATCACAGATCAAAAGTTTAAACTGAGAGAATGTATCATTTTAAGGGAAAAATCTGTTGTTTACAAATTTCATGGCGTCAACAAATCCCAAAAAAGTTGGGACAAGTCCATGTTTACCACTGTGTGGCATCCCCCCTTCTTCTTACAACACTCAACAGACGTCTGGGGACAGAGGAGACCAGTTTCTCAAGTTTAGAAATAGGAATGCTCTCCCATTCATGTCTAATACAGGCCCCTAACTGTTCAATCGGCTTGGGCCTTCTTTGTCGCACCTTCCTCTTTATGATGCACCAAATGTTCTCTATAGGTGAAAGATCTGGACTGCAGGCTGGCCATTTCAGTACCTGGATCCTTCTCCTACGTAGCCATGATGTTGTGATTGCTGCAGAATGTGGTCTGGCATTATCATGTTGAAAAATGCAGGGTCTTCCCTGAAAGAGATGACATCTAGATGGGAGCATATGTTGTTCTAGAACCTGATCATAGTTCTCTGCATTAATGGTGCCTTTCCAGACATGCAAGCTGCCCATGCCACAAGCGCTCATGCAACCCCATACCATCAGTGATGCAGGCTTCTGAACGGAGCGTTGATAACAACTTGGGCTATCCTTGTCCTCTCTGGTCTGGATGACATGGCGTCCCACTGTTCCATAAAGAACTTCAAAATCGTGACTCATCTGACCACAGAACAGTCTTCCATTTTGCCACACTCCATTTTAAATGACCCCTGGCCCAGTGCAAATGTCTGAGCTTGTGGAGCTTGCTTAGAAATGGCTTCCTCTTTGCACTGTAGAGTTTCAGCTGGCAACGGCAGATGGCACGGTGGATTGTGTTCACTGACAATGCTTTCTGGAAGTATTCCTGAGCCCATTCTGTTATTTCCTTGATAGTGGCATTCCTGTTTGAGGTGCAGTGACATTTAAGGGCCTGGAGATCACGAGCATCCAGTAGAGTTTTATGGCCTTGATCCTTACGCACAGCGATTGTTCCAGATTCTCTGAATCTTTTGATGATGTTATGCACGGTCGATGATGATAACTTAAAAGTCTTTGCTATTTTACGTGGGGTAATACCATTCTGGTATTGCTGCACTATCTTTCTGTGCAACAATGGGGGAATTGGTGATCCTCTTACCATCTTGGTTTCTGAGAGATACTGACACTCTGAGAAGCTCTTTTTATACCCAATCATGTTGTCAATTGACCTAATTAGTGTTAATTGGTCTTCCAGCTGTTCATTATATGCACAATTTCCTTTTTCCAGCCACTTATTGCTACTTGTCCCAACTTATTTGGGATTTGTTGGCACTGTGAAATTTTGAATCAACATGTTTCCTTCAAAATGTTACATTTACTCAGATTAAACTTTTGATCTGTCATCTATGTTATATTACGAATAAAATATTGACATTTGCCATCTCCACATCATTGCATTCAGTTTTTATTCACAATTTGTTTAGTGTCCCAACTTTTTTGGAATCCGGTTTGTGTGTATGTATATATATATATATATATAATTTTACACACCATTAAGGAAAACAAGTTGGCCTGGTGTGGCCGGTTGAATGAACAGGCATTGTCAGATGACCAAGTTAGCAGCTGTGACTTTAACATGTCCAACTATATATAAAATAAAATAAGACTCCACCCATCTTTCTGGGTGGAGTTTACATGTTCTTTCTGTGCAAGCATGGGTTTTCTCAGTGTACTCTCCCACAGACCAATAACATGCATGTTAGGCTGATTGGTAACTCTAAATTGTCCCAAGGTGTGAGTGAGAGAGTGAATGGTTGTCTCATCTGTCTCCATGTGTCCCAGTGATGGACTGGAGACCTGTCCAGGATGTACCCCGCCACTCGCACAGTGACTGCTGGATATGGGCAACAGTAAGCACCACAACCATTAAAGGAAGAAGTGGGTAAAGATAATGGATGGATGAATATTTATATGATTGACTGACAGATTTGAAAACAGTATTACAGTATTTCTTTAAACATGTATTGTGGGGATATTTCTGGCCTAAATTACTAAGATTGGACTTATTTAGGTTTTCCAGGCTGTAGTTGTAGGCTGTAAAGGTCCTGAATCCCACCTGAAACCTGTTTACACTCCTTCATGTGCCTTTCCTCCCATCCTTTGTTTTTGCAGGTGACGGAGCAGTAGAAGACCTTGTAGCAATGATCACACACAATCCATTTCACAAATGTAGAACGACCACAGTGATAGCAGAATTTCAACACCGGTTCCCTAAGAAAAGATTTACACAGACACAGATGTGAACTGGCAATTTACAAAACTGGAGACAATAAAGTCCACTGACATAAATCTATCTGTTTACCTGTAGCTTTCTGTTGTCTCTGATAATCCTTCACAGCTGTGTTCTGGTCCAATTGAGGGAATAGCTTCTGCACCTGTATATGCAAAGATCTGTGTTAATGGTACTTATATGCAGTGAGTGCACACATACAATGTAAATCATAGGTTGACAAAAAAAAGCAATATGTGGCACTGACGATTCAATGTGAGCTGCTGCAATCTCTTTAAATTATTTGTCCTCCTCTGGCTTGTAGTTTGTCTCAGCAGATCACTCATCATTTGGAGAAGTTGGTGCCGTGTTTTGAGTATTTTCCTCTCCACAGTGTTCAGATTATGGAACAAAGTGTGGGCGATATGCAAGTCCTGAAGTGTAACACAGTGCATTATACCTGATCAGATGGAAGTACTCTAAACAAACAACTGTAGGACGAAATTGGAGTAGTATGGAACAAACTGCAGAATTCTCTGTCATTCCTGCTATTCAAGCTGTGTTTCCAACTAATGAGTTACCTGGTTGAATGAGTAGTGTGCATAATCTACTGCAGTTCCCACAACACCACCCACAGCAACTGGCATCAAGATGTCAGCACCAGTCTTAACTAACAGGTCCAACTATATATAAAATAAAAATCAACATTAGAAAACAGTATTTTGAATTAATCAACATAAAAATTAATATATATATATATATATATATATATATACATACACACGGGTATATATAATTATATACACCATTAAGGAAAACAAGTTGGTCTGGTGTGTCCGGTTGAATGAACAGGCACTGTCATATGACCAGCTGTGCACCCTTTTATGATTAGGCCTCTTCTTAACAACTGCTTTTGGGTAAAACAATTAGGACTGAGTTACCAAACTATTAAAATCTTGCCAAATAATGAACAGCATGCAAACAACTGTCATCTGCTTCTAGGTACAAAGTTGGGCAATAACAGAAAAGCATTTGTATAAAAACCTTTTCATTAAATTATTTAAAAAGTGTCAAAATCTTCAGAACTATTTTAAAATGTTAACAAAATTTTAGTGGGGTAAAAGTGTAAGTAATGTTGAGAACTGTAATACATGATTATTTTTGTGAGCTGACAACTGTTGCAGGCAGACTTTAAATTTATTTTCATTTGTAAACATTTTCATTATAGATAATTTGATCTGTATGTAAAAAAAAAATGCATTCACAAGTTTTGTAAAAGCCTAATAAATAATGTACCAAAAGTACTTCATTACATACTGTGAATAATTTTATAAAACATGTTTAAAAGTTTAGAAAAATGCCATTAAACTGTACAATTATACTCAAATTATGAATAATTATGAGACACATGTAAATCTACATATATTTTTAGGTGAACGTGTAAGTTTGTGTGTACCAGTTTAGTTTTGTTGCCGCCCAAGGTATAATTAATGTTGGCAAATGCACAGAGAGCGCTGCCTACTCTAGAACCCAGAGGGATGTTAGGATCTGCACCTTTGTTCAAAAGCTCCTCTACTGCCTGAGCAAAGAAAAGACGCAGGTTTGAAATAAGAGGTTAAGTGTACACATGTAATACATTTGTGTGAGTGTGGGAAAAGGTTCTACCAGGTCATTGCCACTTGCTATGGCCAAAGAGAGGGGAGAATGTCCACTCCAGAGTAGGTCTGTGCTGGCTCTGTGAGACAGCAGGACAGCCACCACCTTACTGGCGTTCTAGGAAAAGGCTGGCTTTGGTTAGTCCATTCATGACTGAAAGGAATTTGGTCTTGCATGCATTTAACACCAACAATCACACAGTTATGCGGAGCTCATTCTTCACAAAAACAAACAAACACAAGGAAAACATGTTTTTTTTGTTTGTTTTTTGTATAAATGTCATTCCACTACAAGCGACTGCCATCTAGTGTACAAAATGAACAACACAGAAATACAGTACAAGGATGGAGCTGTTGTTCCCAGTTCACATCTTATGTCAGTGTTTGTTCATTCTACAGCCAAAAGGCTAAGCAAGTTTCAACAGTTATTTTCCAGCTCAAATCTCATGTCCAAATACAATCGCAATTTGTTTTAACGACACCAAAATGGGGACACATGCTAAACTCAAGGTTTAAAAATGAAGGTTCACTAAATAAAAGTAGACAAAAATCTTCTAAATTCTCATTTATTATTTAAAATGGTTGAGCTTTATTCATTTTTATGTATCAAATGTATTATTACTCATTTAATAAAATGAGTGCTAACGATTTAATGTGTTTTAATGTATTTCACGGCGGTTGTGTGAATAATACTTACTGACCATGTAATCAGTGTCTCTCTGACAGGCTATGTGCAGGGCGGTTCGACCCCCCTCTTTAAGGTTTGGGTTCTTAATGACACTTGGTGGTTCCTCGGCAGACAAGGATATCTGTAAAAGATCATGACTACCTTTCTTTTACAAGTGCCACTTAAGCCAGTACATTAACAAATAAAAAGTCTAATAAATGTGCTGTAACGTGCAAATACACATACCCTGTCTGGTTCATAGATCTCATTGTGGTCACATGCCTGCACATCTGGGTCAAAGCCAGCAATCAGAAGAAGCTCTGTAATGATGGCACCTTCTGGACCTGGCAACATTGCAGCCACATGCAGAGGGTACAAGCCTTTCTTCTGCAAAAATGATGTAATATTAAAGTGATTTTTTTATGACTTATCATTTGACAAAATATGCTAAAGAGTAAAGCTGCTATTTACTTCATATTTATTATTTAAATGAAAACACTGACCCAGATAACTAGATGAAAAAAAAATCAAATGCTGTTCAAGACTAATTATTGTTTGAGTTTGGGATTTTCACTTCTCAATGGCATAAATTATCTTCTTACAATTGCAAGCAAAAAATTAATAAAAAAAATGTAAGGACTTAAAAGTATACTTCTGGTGGAAGAGGAATGTCAGTGCGAGCTCCAGACTGCAGCAGTCTTCTGACAGCTTCAGTGTCCCTCGCCATAATGGCAACAAAAAGAACAGGCAAAGGGACCCTGGCCAGATTAGGGTCAGCGCCACGTTTCAGTAACAGGTTCAAAGTGTTCAAATACACTTGCTGCCTGGTAAAACAAACGACACATCGACATCAACATATGCACAACGGAAATTTAACATCAAAGAACAAGGAAAGAAACATAACTGATTTTTATAGCTGCCATTTTGCAGTGTCCTTTTTGTGACAGCTCCCTGTGTGTCATCTCCAATATGAAAGTGCCTGTTTTGCATTCTTACTGTTCTGAGGGGTGGATGTCAGTTTGGATCTTCACATTTGTGTCAGCGGTTTGAGGTCTGTCATTAAGTACAGGTGTAATTGATGTGAGGTCATTTTGGCTAATAGGGAGACTGCTCTCACTTGAAGATGAAGACACAACCTGGCAACACATTTCAGTAATAAAAACAAGATGTTGAGAAAACATTAGCAAATCAGCTAATTTTATAAAATTCACCAACATTTCTTCTACTCAATTGAAACACTCAGATTAATTTTTATGGATAACCATTAATGGTTATAGATAATTACATGACATTCCAACCTGATACATTTTGATATACTTCAAGCTTTACCACAGTAGCTGACTGACAAACAATAACAGCAATCTAAACGAAGGTCTTTCTCACTGGAGATGTGGTCGGTGCTTCGGTCCATGTTGTGTACAGGGAATGGAAAGGGTAGTAGAGAACGTGGCACACAGCCAAGGCAGACATGCCTTCACTGTTTAACTTGTCAATATCAGCACCCATATCCAGCAACTGATGGATCACATTATTATGGCAGTTTACCTGACCGATGAGAAAACAAAACCAATATAACACAGTTAAATAAACTACATGAAACTCCACTTATAAAGACTATAAACTAAAACTTTTATTTTGCAATCTGTTGCTGTAATGTGCCACTTCAGTTCATGCTCTAAAGACATTTTGAAGATCAGGCTACTGAAAGTGAATCAAGAGATGAACGTTAACGTTACGGTTGCAGCGATCAGTGCAGTGTGTCCTTGTGAATCTGCAACATCAGGATGGACAAAACCCTCCCGGAGCATCTTTGCCAGAGTTTGGAATTCCCCTCTGAAGCTGTGCTGGATCAACAGTTCTGAACTGGCCTCTAAAGGCCCTTTTGGACCAAAGCTCTCTCTATTCATAGAAAGAACAGCAGCAATGTTCCACCCAACATTTTCAGCTAGCCGTCTGAAAAACACAAAGAAAGCATGTAGATATTTTTCTCTCAATACATTCCTTGGCACCAAATTGTATCTTTATTTTACATATTACCTGTGTTTGTGTATGACAGCTGGCATTCGAGCCTGTAAAGGGAGAGTAGAAAATGGATCCCTTTTGTAACCTTGATATGGATGAGCTTCTGGCTCCCACAGCTCTCCATAAAAGAGTTTATCCAACTCTAATCTCCGGCCAGGAGGGAGCGGTAAGTAGTCGGCATTTGTGCAGTACTTCTCAATGCCGGGTGGAAGGATAAAACTTTCATCAATCAGCAGATCCTCATCTGTAGACACCTGAAGGAGGTGGGGAGTAAACTGATCTGCTGTTAGGCAAACGCTGGTAATACATTGATTTATAAAAGCAATTTACACATTTTACCTGAACATCTGTACTGGCTTTTGTTTCTAAACTGTTTGGGGCAGACTGGAACCAAAAAGATACCTAAATAAATATATTGTGCATGGGCAGATAAATACAAACTTGGACACAGACTTAAAATTAAAAATCCTAATTTACAAGTGGTATTTTATATAAACTGTATGGACTGTATTGTAATAAAATAGAATATGACATCAACTTTTCTGTGAAGTTCCTTGAGATGAGTTGTGAATTTGCTCTAAAAATGTATTAAACTGAATAGAATAATACATTTTATGAGCAAAAATGACAACGCTTGAGGCTATTTGCCAGCATGTGATAAAATGAACAAGTACCTGAGTCCATGAACCTGTGTCAACAGAAGACTTCATAAAGTCAGCATATTCAGGAAAGCTTTTGAGGCTAAAGCTTTCTTCTACAGAGGTACAGAGCTTTAGTAAGCGTTTCCCAAGCCACAAACCCACATCCTGTCGTCCATCTGAATAAGTAAGCACACCAGGGCCAAATATCTCGTCCATGTGGTATAAACCCTGAGGATGCAAAGTTATAAACTGTTATTTACTATGCACAAAAACTACTGCAAATGCTGTTCCCATTGCATCAATTTTACCTGAAAGCTGGCTCCATTTGGTAAGCTCAGGTGACCATATCCTTCTCTTCTGTTAAGGTAGAACTTGCCAGTGAACTTGTGGCCTGAGGGCCAGCTGTAAAGTGCATCCCCATGCTTGAAGTCTTTGTAGAAAAAACCCTCATAGTACTAAACAAAGAAATTAGGTTAAAAACTGTTATTTTGTGTAATATTTAGGATGAATTCTGCTGGGTCATCAGAAAAAAAACAAGTCAAATTAGATAAGCATCTTTAAAATGTTGCAGGCGATCACATCATTAGCTGATTTAGTTCCTTATTTGACATTTATGTCTAAAGTTTTGAGGTTATTTTGCAGGTAGGGTTTTTTTTTTTGAGTGCAGAGCATGGCTTCACTAAAAAGTACTTTTGACTTCTTCTTTTTTAAGGTCATTTACTTGTCTAATTTCACTGACTGTCTATTTTAAAATGGCACACACATAAGCGCGCGCTCATCTTTTCATCTTACCGCTCCATGTTTCCAGGTGTATCTTCCTTTTCCGTGTTTGAGGCCGTCTAAAAAATCTCCCTCATATCTGGACCCGTCGGACAGCTCCTGAACACCGAAGCCATCTGCTCTTTTGTCGCCGAGCTGCGCCATCCTGTTACCGCCGCTCGTTCCCGGGTCAGTACCTTCTCGCTCCGCCACACCTTTTGAATTTCTCGATGTTTCGTATTTGCCCTGAATGAATTTCACTTGACCCATAGGAATGAAACAAGAAGTATTTTTATTTAGTTTAGGCTACAATGAAGCGAACACGGCTATAGTTACTAGGGCAAACAAACAACTAGCATAAATTAGATTTCAGTTATAACTTAGCTGTGAGCGAGTAACCATGACAACCCTTGGTGACTGTTTACGCATGCGCATAGTAAAAAGTTCAAATCAGCTGATTTTTTTCTATATAAATTGTGTATTTATTTATTTGGCACAGTTAATTTATCGTGCAGTGTAATCTTAAAGTTCAAAATAAACTAGTTTAGTCAGTTTTATAACAACTTAAACTAAATTTTGTTAGTAGCCTACTGTTGAATTAAAAACATTTTTTCATTCAACCTTTATACCTTTTTGACTTTTCAGTTTGATTCAAGATCTTGGTTTTGCACATTCCCACCCCGCACACACACAAAGGTATGGGTTCTGAAATATGGAGCTTGATTGCTTAAACACCTTTTTTAATTATTTAAATTGGAAACATTTCAGCTGATAACCCCAAAAACTAACACAGATGCATCCCTTTTCAGTTTCAATAGTGATAAAGATAGGGGGTCATTGTAGTTTGGACAGGTGTAAGAAATAAAAGTTGGATACTATCATACGACATGGATGGTTATCTGGTTAGTTAATTATAAGTGTTTCTGTATAGGATCAGTGAGGCAGAACCATGAGTTTTGTTCATGTGTTAGCTGACCCTTTCCTTAACTGACACTATTGTTGCCTTTTTATCAGCTCTAACAATAAAATTGAACCAAATAAAACAATACAATAAAATTTAATAAAAACATGGATGAGCAGAAGAAAATGATAAATGCTTGAATAGGCATGAAGGACTAATTAAATAATAAGAAAAGACGAGGATTGACTTAATTACATTTGCATATTGTCTACATTTGCTCAGAGCTAAAGGGTTCAAAAGTTGTATAGACCAAGAGTAAAATAAAAATGACTATGAAAAGTTGAATCACTTCATCCGTTTATTAGTCAACTGTTCAGTTCAAGAAAAGTGTAATTACTTTGTTAAAAGCACTATTCAGATTACATTAAATGTTTATATAAACAGAAGTGAATGGAAAAGTCAAAATGACAGAGACTCAGTGCATACATACAGTATATACAATAGTTTTGTGCTTTTCCCCCCTCAACACTAATTTGGTTCTTAAAGGCTTTCAGAAGATTTTCAGTTTGAATATTACCCGCATCTTTCTTTAAGGGCAACTGTGAACAAACATAGGTATTATAAACATTTTCTTTAACATAAAATGCTTAGTAGGATGAGTTCAATTGTCTTAATATGATCTATATACTTATTACAAAACTATACACATTATCAGGCCATATTTTTAAGCTAGTGAAATGAAATCCTGCCAACTGAAGTGACCAAGCTTAAACTTAAATTGTCCAAAAAAAAGAAAAGAAAAATTCCCTTGAGTATTCCATTCAGGAAGTTATGTGCAGTGTGCTGAGTGACAACATTTAGGGACATGGAGGCGCTCAGGAAGATACTTTGCAGAGAGCCAGATGTTTTCATGTGTTGCTCCTTTCCTCAATCGTTAAGGTTTCCATTGGGCCTTTGCTCAGAGCTTTGATGTCATCCAGAAGACAGGTGGGGGTCAAAATGTGTGACGATCCTGGACACAAAAAAACAAAAAGCCCATTATATTTTTTGTGAAGGAAAACAGTTCTTGCAAACTCCAGCAGGGGTGTAAAATTCTGAGATAAAACCAGGCAATGACATTGGAAGGCATCCATCCATACATCCATATTTGCTTGCTCTGGAGTTGGTTCACGGGGGCAGCAGCTTGAGCAGGGAGGCCTGGACATCTCTTCCTCCAGCCACCTCTTCTGGGAGGATTCCAATGGATATGTCCAAAGCACCTCCCTAGAGAGGTGATCCGGGAGCACCTTTGCCAGATTCCCGAACCACCTCAACTGGCTCCTTTCGATGTAAAGGAGCTACGACTCTACTCCAAGTCTCTCCCGGATAAATTAACTTTTCACCCCATCTCTAAGGGAGAGTCCAGCTACCCTGCTGGGAAAATTAATTTTTATCACCTGTATTTGCAATCCCATTCAGTCGATCACTACCAAGAGTTTTTGGCCATAGGAGATGGTAGGAACATTGACCAACTGGTAAACGGAGAGTGTCACCTTACAGCTCAGCTCCCTCTTTACCAAAACGAACCAGCACAGATTCTACAATAACGCAGATCTGTCTGTCAATGTCACATTACAGTCCTCCTTCACTCATGAACAAAACCCCAAAATACTTGAAGTCCTCCACTTGAGACAGAACTTCACTCCCAACCCGGAGAGAGCTATCCACCCTTTTTCAACTGAGGAGCATGGCCTCAGATTTAGAGGTGCTGATTCTCATCCCAGCTGTTCCACACTCGGCTGTGAACTGCTCGAGCGAGAGCTGAAGATCACAACACAATGATGTCAGCAGGACCACATCATTCGCAAATAACTGACGGAATCCTGAGGCCACTGAACCGCACTCCCTCCATCAGCTGGCTGCACTGAGAAATTTTGTCCATTAAAGTTATCAACAGAATTGGTGACAATGGGCATCCCTGGTGGAGTCCAGCTCCCACCCTGAAGGAGTCTGACTTACTGGCGGCAATGGAAACCAAACTGTCAAAACCACTCCTACAATGGTCCATAGCAACGGACCCACAATTCCATTTTCATAGCACCCCCACAGTGTATTGACGAACACAGTCGAATGCCTTCTCCAAGTCCACAAAACGCATGTAGCACCACTGGATGGGTGAATTCCCAAGACCCCTCGAGGACCCTAGTGAGGGTAAAGAGCTGGGGCCTCATGTACAGAGGGTGTGTATGCACAAAAATGTGTCATACACCTTTTTTCACGCAAAACTTCAAATGTATCAAGAAATATCCATGGAAATATGCGCAGCCCCACTCCAACTTCATGGCTGCTGTACACACGTTTCTATGGTTACTGGTCCATTGGCGACACTTAGAGGTGATACTGGGAAACTGTTAATGATGTGAAAACTATTTTTGTACACATTGGACACACATGATGAACAATTATAACATCCGCATGTATGAAATTAGATGAGTGGATGAAAAGGCATGTACATAGTGGTGCAGAAAATACTTTTAACAACAATGGCTTTAGTCATATTAGAAATAGCAAATGGTACAATACACACAGAGCGTGTATTTAGAGACAGAGAAGATTTTCTGGCCCAAGATGATGACTGGCTCTTTAGCCATTTTAGGCTTCTAAGGGTAACCCTTTTGGAACTGTGCTTGGAGCTACGACCGGTCTTGGAGCGTGACACAGCAAGGAGCCGTGCGCTGCCCGTACACATACAGCAACAAATCAATATTACGTTTAAATAAATAAAAATCCACTGAATCTGGAGAACTAAAGCAATGTCTAAATATAGCACAGTATTATTGCTCACCTATGATGACCTCGCAGGATTTTACTGCTTGAGTGACCTCATAGGCAGCACGCATCTCAGAGTAACTTATTCCTCCAATAACAAAGATGATAAGGCGTGAGCCAGTCCGGCGTTCGTCCTGAGCGTTAGGTTTGTGCTTCTGGCGAGCGCTGTGAAGCAGAAATTAACTCAGATGAAATTTAAGAGAGCAAGCAAGTGGAAAACAATCTGGGCAGTCAACAAAACAGCTGAAATTCAATGTTCAATTTATGAGTGGATAATGAAGAGAAGATGGTCTGCAAAAGCAAACAAGGGTTTTCTTTGAGATATATTTTCAATTATTTTCATAAGTGTACATAACAAAATTTTCCAAACCTAGTTATAGATAAAATACATTTGATGTTAAATGAAAAGATTTAGAAAAAATAAAATTCTAAAACGTATTTTGCAGAAATTATAAATTTCTTCAGAATTTGTTACAGTTCTTAAATGATGACTTAGAAAATCCCACCTGACAGCTCCAGAGCCATTCCAGGCAGTAGGACACTCAGACTGGTGTGGCCATTCCCTGGCGTCCAGTTTGTTTTCCACAGCATCCTGAGGGTAACAAAGTTTTTAATTTAGCCAATGTTGGTTAAAAACAAACAAACAAACAAACAAACAAACAAACAAAAACAAACAACAAAAGAGCAAATTTATTGAGGAAAGCCATAACTTATATTTATATGAACTACAGCTAAAATAACATCATTGCTAGACAACGTCTCCCACCCCATGTATGAAGCAGCTGCTGAACTGGAGAGCTCGTTCAGTGACAGATTACAACATCCTAAATGCACAAAGGAGCGTTACCGCAGGTCCTTCCTCCCAGCAGCTGTTAGACTCTACAACCATCACTGCTCCCAACAAACTCAATAAGGATTAAAAACATGCTGACCTCTGCTAAAACACACACTCTGCCTATAATACTGTACTTTAAATAGTCTGCCCATATCAACGTTCCAACACATATTGAACATTATTATTGATATTGTTTATCTTATTTCTTTATATATTGTATTGTTTTTAACATTTAGGAACGTTTGTGTGAAATCTTTTTAGCTGTTGCTGCTGTTAAACTTGAATTTCCCATTCGTGGGACAATAAAGGCTGTTTCTATTCTATTATAACATTTGCAAGATTGTTTGACATTTAACTGAAATACAAACAAAATGTCACTGTAACATCATTAAATCATTATTTATTGTGACTAGATCTTATTAGCAATTAACAAACTTTAATTTTGGATCGTTTGTTCCAGAAATTAGGGTCAGACTTCCTGAACTATATGTAAATAGTGTAAAACTAATAAAACAAAAAATAAGAAGAATCAGAGAAACAATCTGCTACGGAGTATGTTTCTAGATAACCAATTAGACTTTAAGAACATTTCAAGTTACAACGCATCAAAAAATGTGTTTTCTGCCACAAGAGGAAATATGTACCAGATCTAAAAGGCGCTCAGGATTCCTAAGAAATGGGGTTTCAAGTGATAACAGACAGAAAAGAGGAAAAAAAAAGGGAATGCGTTATTTTTATTACAAATCAGATCTTTCCATTTGAACTTATTTTCCCTGAAGACAGTAAAGATTTAAACTAGGCTTTTTAAAACACCATGTTTGTTAAATTGTTCAAGAGCCTCCTTTTAATTTTAAAATTGTTCATCCATTTTCTATATCTGCTTGGTGCTGTTCAGGGATGTAAAAAGTTGGTGCAATTTTCACCAACTGCTGGGCGAGGTACGTCCTAAACAGGTTGCCAATCCATCACGAGGTCACACAAAACATGTTCACACTCACACCTATGTAGTTTAGAATTTCTAACTGACGTACGCATACAACACACATACACACAACACAAACATACACGTGCAAACTTCATGCAGAAAGGTCCGTCCCTGAAGTTGTACCCTGGAACCTTCTTGCTGTGAAGAAACAAAGCGAACCAACAACTCCACTGTGTAGCCCTTTAAAATTATTAAGATGAATTATTATTAATAACAGAACTGAGATTTGGTGGAAAAGTTCAGTAAAAAGTAAAAACTTGCCACTGGGGAGACACGTTTAAAAGAATCTGAGTGTTAGAAGATGCACAAAAGCAGAAAGAGTTCCCACTTCACAGACAAATGGTGCTATGCTGCTGATCCCTACGGAGAATTCCTCTACATAACGAAATATACAATACTGTATAATACATAGGGCCCTAATAATACAAAACCTAAATTTGAAAACCTCTTTTTGTTCTGCTGCCAAAGACTTGCTGAAGAAGTTTTCTCTCAAATACTATTCAGAGATGAGTTGAGGTAGCTCACAGATATTCAGAAAGTTTTTAGAGAACTGAATTTAAATGTGAAGTGTATAAAGATGTAAATGTTGTGAATACATTCATATCATATTGTTTATTGCACAGTATGTGTTCACTGACCTCCATCACATCCTTTATGACCGGAGTCCATCTTGAAAGGCTGTACCTCCCCTCCTGGGGACGATCCCGTCGGGTTTGTTTGCGAGAGAAGAGACTAGGCTATAAAACAAATGAACAAGATAAGATTCTCTATCTAGGATTCCTTAGATAGAGAACTTTACTAATTGGCTTTTATGTATGTGAATGTTCCTGTAAAGTGCCCTGAGACAACTTTGATGTGATTTGGCGCTATATAAATACACTGAATTGAATTGAACAACAAAGAGCAGCAATAAAACAAGAGAAAATAATTTTAAAACAATGTGAAAAAAAAACTACTTGTTTTTCTTAAGCAAACTTTTAAAACTTACAGATGTGATGATAGGGACTCCCAGTTCTTTCCAGTTCAGGATAAACTCTCGTTCATCCTCAATCTGAACATGCTGGATAAGTTTATTCAAGTTTTCATCTGTTGTTCCTGTTCAGGCGCAAAAAAAAAAAAAAAAACATTAATTTTTCTTTTTATTCAGTCTTTTTCATGAAAGTTGCAATTAAATGGAAAAATTATATCCTCACTGTTAAAAAAAAAACAATTTATAGTAAAGGAAGATTGTTTTACCATTAAGACTGAAGATGTAGAGCAGCACAGCTCGAATTTTGTCGTATTTGCTGTACGGGTAAAGCAGCACAGGCAGCAGAGTCCTCATGGGATCTTTCACCTTCACCCCATCTGTATCAGAACCTACTGCAAGGTCCTGCAGAGAAAATTATGACATATACAACATCCTATATTTACAACAACAAAAAAAATATCAATATTTGTCTAGGTGAAGATCAAACAGATACAGAAAACACACATGCGCATTTCCATAAAATTTGTTGTTTGGATGCTCTCAACTTCTCTCATTTGTTCAATAATACAGTTTCATTCAAACTATAAATTCAAAACTCCAACATAACTCATGTTCTTGAGTAAGAACTTTGTAAACAGACCAACGGTGCTTAAAAACAATTGGCTTTTTCTAGATATTTTGTTAATCCTAATAAATACCACTTTTTACTGAATAGTTCGAGGAGGGCATAGACAAACCTGCTCAGCTTTGCAAAGCTTTTCCACGTTACTTGAGAAAGGTTTCATGCAGTCTTCAGCCAACTGTAGATGTATAGTTTTCTATAATTAGGATAAAAAGAACAGATACTAATATTATATATAAACTTATGCACTGTAATTGATTTTCTTTTATTCTTTTCAGTAAGACAGTTGCCATAGAGGCAATACTTTGATCAGTATTCTTCTGCAAGATGGCAACAACTTTGAATAAATTACAAGCTGTAGAGGCATCCACACCCAACCACAACATAATGACAACCTACATCTTTAATTGCTAGTAAGATGCTGTTTAGTGTTTCATTTGCTGTAAAACCAGTTTCAAGGCACATCCCTGAAATGTCATTTTAAAAATCTCCTGATAATCTTTACAAGTCAAGTTAGCATAAATAAAACAAGTTTATTTACTTGTATTTCATACCTCAGTAAGCTGTTTACGGAATGAAGGCATCTTCTTCATCATTTGGGCCAAATTGCTTATTGTTATCTGAAAAAATAAATAAATAAAATGATTCATTTTGTGTAGAAGTACTTTAAAACAGACAGTAGAGATTTAAAGACCAGCAGACACTCGAACAATTCCAACTCTATACCTTCCCATCTGGCTGTTTCTTGTTGGCAGATATTTCCTTTACCATCTTGGGGATTTCCCTGTATAAGAAAATAACAAGTTCAAAGTTTGAATGAAGACTGTAGAACAACAATAGTACCACAACCTGCCAACTTACTCTGAGACTTCAGCAATATGCTTGTGTCTGAGCTTCACCCAAAGCATGTCATCCTCATTCAACAGAGCCTGCTTCTCTGAGCCATCTTTGGATTTGTACCTGAGCAACAAGATTACCCAGACAATTACATTTCAGCAATCTGCAGGACGATATAGTCGGACTGGGAGACTGTGTGAATTTTGAGTACAGGGAAATTCAGTAGAGAGAGACTTGCATGTATGTGTCATTCTGAATATCAAGGAGGTCGTAGGCCATGGCCTGGTAGGTGAGTTCATGGAGGATGGGGCTTACTGGGTCAAAGCCTCTTTCCACTATCAGCAGCTGGGCCTGAGTCTTTTCCTACAAACAGAAAATTAAAGCAAAAAACAAACCTTCAATATTTAACATAAATCAATTAAATAACCAACAATGATGCTGGTGAAGATTCTCAGTCATCCAGGACATGATGAATTCAAAAGGCGTTCAAAACAAAAACAACTGGACTTTACAAAGAAGTCACATCATAAGATTTCATTTCTCTTTTTACGAGATCATTTCTCTTTTCACATGCATACCCATCTCTGAAGCAGTAGAAACCGTCAGAAAACAACTTCTACAAGACAAGGACTTAATCAACAGGACCAACTTCACCCCAGACCAGATCTGCACCCTGTTGGATCTCTGCCTCTCCACCACTTATTTCAAGTTCAATGACAGTTTTTACAGACAGAAGCACGGCTGTGCCATGGGATCTCCAGTGTCACCCATTGTTGCCAATCTCTACATGGAGGAAGTGGAACAGAGAGCCCTACACTCCTACGAGGGAACTAAGCCAAGCCATTGGTTCCGTTATGTGGATGACACCTGGGTCAAAATCCAAGCCAAGGAAATAGAAGCGTTCACCAGACACATTAACTCGGTCGATAACAACATCAAGTTCACCAGAGAGGATGCAAACGACAACAAGCTGCCTTTTTTGGACTGTTTGGTTCAGATGGAGAGAGAGGACAGCCTCAACATTGAAGTTTACAGAAAACCAACCCACACAGACCAGTATCTTCTGTTTGACTCCCACCATCCACTGGAACACAAACTCTCTGTCATCAGAACTTTACAACATCGGGCCAAATGCGTCCCCACAAAGACAGAAGGGAAGGAAAAGGAACTGAAACACGTTCAAGAAGCTCTTCAAACATGTGGATACCCTAACTGGGCTTTTGTCAAGTCAGCGAGGAAATCTACAAAACACACCAATAAACAGAAAAAGGAGAACAACAGACGTAAAAACATTGTCATCCCTTATGTTGCTGGAGTATCAGAGAAATTCAGAAGGATCTTCAACAAACACAAGATCCCAGTACATTTCAAACCCAGCAGGACTCTCAGACAGAGGCTGGTCCACCCTAAAGACAAAACACCCATACACAGAGTGGTGTAGTGTATGCGGTCCAGTGCAGCGAGGACTGTCCAGACCTCTACATTGGAGAAACTAAACAGCCTCTTCACAGACGCATGGCTCAACACAGGAGAGCCAGCTCCTCTGGACAAGACTCAGCTGTTCACCTCCACCTCACAGATAAGGGACACTCTTTTGAGGACCAAAATGTGCACATTTTGGACCGAGAACACAGATGGTTTGAGAGGGGGGGTGAAGGAAGCAATTTATGTAAAAAGAGAAAAGTCGTCTCTTAACAGAGGAGGAGGCCTCAGATTTCCACTTTCAAAAACATATAATGCAACTTTAAAACAGATCCCCAGCCGGTTTTCACACCTGATGGGAACAGAGGGGCCTCGACTGTGAATTAGAGGAACAAAGACCTACTGTTTTAGATTTTTAGGTGTGAACTGCCACTCTACATATATGTGTGTGTGTGTGTCTTATGTGTGTGTGTGTGTCTTATCTCACTCAGCCTTATAACCTGTATCTCTCACTCTCTGCTCTTTAAATTGAGAAAGCTCCTCGGATGAGGAGCGAAACGTCTTCTGTTACAAATAAAGTCCAGTTGTTTATGTATTGAACGCTTTTTGAAACCAACAATGATGTGAGATTTCTTTTGTATCTTTTTTTAAATAAACAATACTTTGTATAAAGTTATAGGTGGAAATAATACTGAACTTGAAGGGTCCCATTAACTCCCAAGGCTAAGATTTGACTTATGGTATCAATATTTTTTTTCAGCAGGTGTCTCACCTTCTTCTTCCCATTGTCATCCAACTCATAGTGTCTGGCCAGCCTGGTGTCAACCAGCTCTGCAAGAGTTATAGCATTTTCCATGTCTCTAGTTATAAAAAAAAATAAAAAAATTTAAGAATTCAGTCTCTATAAACCACACTAAAACCTTAGTGACACTAATATTCATAAGATGTGCCTTTAAAAGTGGAAGTTTGCAAAATCTGCAGCTGCTGGACAGTCGAGTTTTTTCTACCTTTCACATGCACAAACCTCCAGTCTGTGTCTTTTTTTTAATTATTATTTTCAAAATACAAAATCTATTAGCAACTTTGCAGAAAAAAGTACAGGTAGTCTTTGAAAAACAATTTTTTTGTACAATGTTATTTTAATCACTTTTCAAATTTAACAATTAAAAAAAGCTTCTGAAAGCATCATCTTTTGCCCTAAAAAAAGAAAAACCTCTCCAAAGTAGTTCATCTGAAACCTTGTGTGCATTTGATCCTCTGTGTTGGCAGAAAAATAGTCAATATCATAAAGTATCTTGACTCTCAGCCCCCAAAACATAATTTCTTGACATAGTTACAGTGTCTTGTGAAAGAATTTAGTTAAGTTTTGCTCAAGAATATCCCTGTATTGGGTGGCATCGTGGCCTAGTTGATAAAGCTGCTGCCTCTCAGCAAGAAGGTTGCTGGATCGAATCCTGGCTGGGGACCTTTCTGGCTGAGTTTGCATGTTCTCTTCTTTCATGTGTGGGTTTTCTCCGGATACTCTGGTTTCCTCTCACAAACAAAAAACATGCATGTTAGGCTGATTGGTAACTCTAAGTTGCCCCTAGGTGAGAGTGTGAATAGGTTGTCTCCATGTGTCCCTGTGATGGACTTGCGACCTGTCCAGGGTGAACACTGCCTCTCGCACAATGAATGTTGGATATGAGCACCAGTGACCTCCACGATCCGTAAAGGAAGTAGCAGGTAAAGTTAATGGATGGGTCACTGTATTTAACAGTATCCATCTTCCCCTCAACTCGGACCAGTTTCCCCAATTCTTGCTGCTGAAAAACATCCCCACAGCATGATGCTCCCACCCAGTTTCACTATGGGTGTGCTTGGGGTGATGAGATGTGTTAGTTTTGTCCCAGACATAGCATTTTCCTTGGTGGCTGAAACATTCAATGGAGCACGTTCCTCCATACATTTAGAGAGTCTCCCATATGCTTGTTGTCAAATCCAAAATGAGCTCCTCTATTTTTGTCTTAAGGATCTTTTCTGGCCGCTCTTCTATAAAGTCCAGCTTTGGACAGATACTTCAGTCCCTGCTTGGAAACTGGGCAGCCCCTTCAGGGTTCCTTGCCCAGTCCAATTTGGTGGGCAGTCTTCTCTTGGCAGGTTTGTTGTGGTACCATGTTCTTTCCATTCAATAATGAATTGGATGGTGCTCCAGGGAATCATCAGAGATTATTTTTTTTATTTTTTTTATAACCCAACCTTGACATGTTATGTTCTTTTCAACAACTTTGTCCGTGACTTCTTTGGAGATCTCCTCGGTCTTCATGGTGATGTTTGGTTAGTGGTGCCTCTATGGTGTTGCAGCCTCTGGGGCCTTTCAGAAAAGGTGTGTATATACTGACAGATCGTGTGATGAAGGTGGACTTCATTTCACTAAGCATGTGGCTTCTGAAAGTAATAGGTTGCACCAGAACTTTAAGGGTTTCATAATGAAGGGGGTGAATACATATGCACATGCCAATTTTCAGTTTATCTCCATGTCCGCCCCCCACCACCCCCAAAAAAGGTTTTACAGATATTTTTCTCATTTCACTTCACCAACTTAGACTATTTTATGCAGATACATCACATAAATTCAGATTTTAAAAACATTTAAAAATACAGGTTGTCGTGTAAGAAAATAAGCAAAAAGCTACGGGGGTGAATACTTTAGCAAGACAGTCTCAAAAATGGTGTCAGCTTTGGGGCTAAGGTGTGGTGTAATCTAAGCTCAAAAATGAAACCTTCTCTGGCTTACTTCTTGTATCTGACCCCTGGGTACTCGTCCAACGTGGCACAAAGCGTCACGATCTGGTCTGCAAGAGTCTCCAGTGTCTTTCTTTTGACTTGACTGTGAGGACTGTAGATGTTTCGGAAAGCCCCAGGATCATCACATGTAAACACCTTAAAAGTACAGTTTGAAAATAATATTGTAAAAATGACAAATCATTTTTGTTTAATAATGATACACTCGGTTCTACCACCAATAAAACACTAAATGTTATTAACTTTGACATTGTTGTATTTTAAAAACACATGAAGCAGTTAGTTTCTGTTCTCAAGTCCAAAATGATGCCATAACTTAAGAGGCAACATTCATGAAAGATTCCTTTAGACTACCTCCAACCCCATCCTTCCTCCAAAAAACAACAAGCAGCAAATAAAAACAAAAAATTAAAACTACTAAACAAAGTGATAAGTTGAATTTAAAAAAGAAAATGTAACGTTATTACAGAACTACCAAAGGAAAACAAGCCTCAGTCATTTACCTGTGCCTCCACTGGCATGAAAGAGATGTTTATTTCCTTGCAGACACGTATGTACTTGGCACAGTAAAGCTTCATGTTGTTAAAAAGGTCATCGGGACAGTCTGTGAAATCAGTTAAGAAATATCTGGAGTGGTTTTTATCATGTTACAGTAAGGATCTTTTTGTCTGATATTTTAAATTAAATATTTAGACTGTACTGTTAAATAGGGCCTTTATAGCCAACCAGGCTACTCAAAGTGCTTTACAACACAATCTGTGCCCTCATTTACGTATCCACCCCACATTCATACAGCACTCCACTACATCTCTACAAAGTCACTATGAATAAATCACTCTATAAAGCTTAATCAGTGCTTTTAAATTATATGAATAGACTAATGTGGCACACAATGGCGGCAACGAGCTCGGAACATTTTGAAATGTGACTGCATACTGGGGGAATCAAACCTCCATTTTTTTTTTTAATGAAGGACAGCTGCTCTAACTACTGAGCCCAGCCACACAAAGTTTTTAAAATATAAGTTACTTACAGTCAGTAAAATAAACGTAGGCTCCTTTGTATTTGGGTTTGCGCTTGAAGTCTGCTATAAAGGCATCAACACTCTGTCAAAATAAATAAATTATTAAGACAATAAATCCAAGTTTGTACAATTCTTTTGCATTGTGATCATATCAAGGTTTAATTAGCAAACCTTAGCGGTAGGTGTCATGAAGTAGATGGCCTTCATTTCAGCAACAGGCTCCCTGTTTTTGAACAGGTCCTCCACAACTAAAATAAAAACACTTACAGTGAATGTTGCACATGAACTTATATTCAGACTTGAGTTAGTTTCATCACATGACTGCATGTTGTGAAAATATACATTTTGCTGTAATAGAAACTCAATAACCTACTTGTTATTTTCTCTGCCATCAGATCGGACATTTTGCAGCATGATGAGAGGAGTTTAGTGGTGAAGGAGTCCAGAATCAATATCTGTCAAGATAATTCAAGTCATGAATGGTTAATGTACCACATGAGTTGCAAAGGTGTGTAGACAATCATGAAATCAAGTGTATTTTAAGTAACAGCGAGAAAAACTGAGATGTGAAAAATGTCTATTTATCCAGTTGCAATATTGAAGTTCTGTCCTACCTTCCACACTTCTGATTTTCTGCAATCTGTGATAATTGTATCTTTTATTCCTGTAGAAAACAAATAACATTAAAAACCTACTCAAGAATCACAGTTGAAGTTCATTCTGAGGTTCAGTATATGTTTATACGGTACATGGTCAATCCTGGCTTTGAAATCTAACAATTTGGGAATTAGTGCAATTAATGGAATTGGTAGAATCAAAACAGCAATTTATACAGAAATATAAGTACAATAAATGACTCTTATAACCAGCATTAACATTGAAATATTAATGCAGAAAATTGTGTACTAAAAGCCTAAATAATATACAATTAGATATGATACATAGCTCATTCAAAATATTTTTTATGATTTTGCTTGCATATATTTTGAAAAGAAAATCCAATAAATAAATCTTGTTTTTATATTCCTTTAAGTTAATATGTAGGACATTTTTGCAAACCATTGAACATTTCAGCCAAATATATTGCTTAAAAAAAATAAAAAAATAAACTTTAAACACTACAAATATATATAAAAAAAATAGACAAACTTTTTTTAACAAGTGCATTACCAAATATAATTGGTATTGGTTAAATAAACAATACATATGGACTGCACTTGTATAGCACTTTTCTATCTTATCCAGATACTCAAAGCGCTTTACACAACAATCTGTGTCCTCATTTATCCATTCATACAGCACTCTGCAAGATCTCTACAAAGCTAATTAAACAAATCATTCTAAAGAGACTAATCAGCGCCTTGAGATCACATTCATACACTGATGGGACACACATCAGAGGCAATGAGAGGTTCAGTGTCTTGCCCAGGGACACTTCGGTATGTGACTGCTGGTGGATTCGAACCCCCAACTCTTGCATTGGAGGACGACTGTTCTAACCACTCAGCCAAAGCTGCCATATTCAAAAAATAAATAAATAAAATAATTATATATATATATAAATGTCATCAAAACAATTTATTGACGTTTTTCATTAAAAAAAAACTTGGACTTAATTCATAAAGAGGACTCACAAATGCTTCCTAGTCTGTCTCTACCCCAACCTACTTTAGATAAAGGCACTATTTCATTACCTTGTTATTTCAAAAACCTGATATCACGTTTAAATAATGGAACAAAATATCGAAATTACAGCATCTCCACAGTTTATAGAGGTGATGATGTATCAAAACCAGAATAAAAACTGGGTCTGCTGTAGTTTCTAATGTTGCCACTTCACTTATATGCCATCACATCCAGTTCTTGCTAGATAAGATTGCTAAAACTTTGATAATTAATAAGCACTTCTGTCAGCACTCAGCAGTCTTTGATAGAATAACTCCAGCTTCTGTAAAGTTTACAACACAACAGGTTTGAGTCAGACTTTCTTCTGACATTGACTAACGTGCAGGAACGAGGTGGGGCTCCAGACATACAAGTGACCTCACGTTGACGAACCTAACGAAAATAAGCAACAAAAGCCAGAAAAAGTACTAGGTCAAGTTTAAACAATGTTTCTTTACTCTACCGACAACTCGTTCGATTCAAAATTTGATAACTTCCGTTTCGTTAAAAAAAAAAATAAACTGAACGTCCACCGTTATTCCGAGAAACAAAGTCGCTGCATAAGCGAAAAAAAAGCGCACTTAGACACAAAACGGTGCTTTATAAGGCAAAGAAACGCTGTAAATCAGGAAAACTTACTTTTCCAAACTATTCTCTTAAGACCATGATCTGACATCGCTGCCATCTTGTTTTCGTTTTCCACTTTTTCCGTCCTCACGCACTTTTACGTCATTGCGTCAAAAACATGCGACGGCACGCGATTGTAGTTTTTCAACCTACGAAATTGAAAGGCTGCTACTCAAGACAAGAAACTTTTTTTTAACTTCTTTGTTGGATATGATTTAATATAGCTTCTGCATTTTTTTTGTTAATATGGTGTGGTTATTAGTAATACAACGTAACGTGTAAAATTTTACTTGGATGTAAATAAAGGAATTCAGAATTGTGTGTGTGCACGTGTGTACAGTATATTCATTTATACAGTAGTAGCACCCATACATGCATATTTGTTTGTATATGAATTATTTCTTTATAAATATCTATATATTTACAGTGCATAAGTAACCTTGGTCTTTTCTTTATTATTATTAGTATATTTGTTTGTTTTTTGGTTATTTCATATTTGTATGGAGGTTTGACTATGTAAGAATATTAACTGATTTATGTTTGAGAATAGACTTTTTGTTTGTCATAGTCAACAAGCCCAAATAGTATTTCTATTTTGTCACTCAAATGTGTGCCAGCTAGAAATAAATACAAGTTGCTAATAAGGTAGAAATAGAAAACAAGAAATTATGGATAAAAAGAAAAATATGAACTAAGCTGATACATCATAGAATTACTAGTTTATAAACTATACAAAAAAATGATTTAACCTACCATGTTTAAAAAAAAAAGATTAGTTAGCACAAACCTATTTATTTAGTGGGCAGTGAAGAAAATTTATTCAGCTATGAGGCTTTTAAAATGAAATAAATTAAAAGATGATACATTGTTAAAAGCTATTTTTATCTCGAAATGCAGTATCTTAAGCAAATTTCCCTTCATTATTAAAAGTTCAATAAAACAAAGGAATATGCTAAAAGTCTTTCAGGCCATTTAAAATTGTATCCAGTGAGACAAATCTTAAAAAAAAAAAAAAAAAAAATCCATAATATGTGTCAAAAAAAAAAAAAAAGCTCTGGTTGTCTTCAATGGTTCTTTTCTTTTATGTGTTCCATGTATTTTCTTTTTGTTGTTGTTATTATTTGTTGTTCTTTTGATTTGTTTGATAAGATAGCTGCTCAGTGTACCTTTAGGAAAACTTAATTTGAAATATTTTAATATGCAAGTTTTTGTATTGGTTTTAAATAAAGCTTTATGGACAAAAAGGCAGCTAGTGTCTAAACTGAAATCTTTAAGACTTTTAGAAAACTGACTTGTTAATTAAGATGACTTAAACTTGGTTCTTGACTGGAAGCAACAAAGTAAGCTATGAGTCACTCAATACGTTTACAGCAGGAAATGAACCTGAACCCTCCAGTAAAGGGGAAATCCAGCATCTCTGTCACAGACATATACATGTCACAAGTGATAGCTTTATCCTTTAATATAGAAAATCACCCATAGCTAAATGCTGTCTGTTAATCTGTCTTGAGTTTGCTTTAATATGATTGGACCTTTGTTCTAAAGCAGGAGGAGCTAGACTTATATATTTTAACTAGCTCAGACACCACATTTTAAGAAAAGGAGAAAACACAAAAGAGAAGTGCTTTTAAGAACAAAAAAGGTGTTGAGAGTGTAAAACATCGAGAGGAGAGCTTTGAGAAGCAAATCAAGAATGGGTTGCATGAAGTGGCTGGGGATTTTTGTCTTTCTGAGCACATGCTCACAGGTACAGTAATGCAATATCATTGCTAAGATGTGAAATTTCTTTTAATATAAGTAACAATGCATCCAAAACAAATAATATGGCTATGTGAATTTAAAATGCCTGAAAAACAAAAGTTTGATACTTTATACGTACGTGCGTTTTTTACTTATTCATAATATGTTCTGCTTTAAATTTCCAGACTGCAGCACAATCAGGTACTGTGTGTTCTTTTCTCAACCAACTATCTCATTGTAAATTATTGAAATGGAAAACATGCCGATTACAAAGAGCACTGGGGTATGACAAAATATTTATTTCAATATGACAAACACTTGTAATTTTTACTTTGCGTTTCTGTCATGCAGGTTTCCAAGTTTCTGTGTTTTCTACAACATCCAAAACTGTGTATCTTAAATGGACCGAGTATTCTGGAGCTGCCTCATACAAGATCTCTGCCGCCTTGAAAAGCTCACCAAGCAACCCCTTTGCTTTTGCCACGTTTGGTCCAAACACAGTGATGGGCTCCATCACGTCTCTGTCCCAAGATGTTGCATATATCTTTACAGTTGAAGCTCTGGATGCTTCCCAGGCAGTACTGAGCTCCACATCTACTGAAACATTAACAGGTGAGATAAACTGTGTTTAAGTTCTTCATAATTTATGATTATTTTAATTGGAATGTCTGTTTCTTGACTATGCTTTACATTTTAAAACAAATGCAGTTTCAGTAGGTTTTCCCAATTTACTTATTCTTTGAAAAAAAAGAAAAGAATCAATAAAATATGGGTGACTCCAGGAATATGACTAACAGTAAAAAGTTAACCTAAACTACCTTAATGTGGGTTTGACATAAGCAGCTGCCAGAGGAGGAGCACAAAAAGTCAAGGCTATTGCTAAAGCTAGTGCACTTTACAGCTGTGATTAAAATTCTTAAACAGTTTAAACCATTTATATATATATATTTAAATATTTGGTTTTTTGATCATATGATTTGGACCATGATAGCATATTGTGCAGTGTGTACTTAAATAATGACTGTGGACAAACCGAGAATAAAAAAAATGTAATATAAGGCCTAAAAATATACTGTATGTTTTAATAGTAACAAATTATTTAAAAAATATCAAACAAAATTGACAGACACGACAGAACCTATGAAAGATGTGCCACAGAACCTAAGAGATGCATCCTCCTTATCCAGTTTTTATCTAATGAATCTTTGGAAATATGTGATGGACTTGCGACCTGTCCAGGTGTGTCCCCCGCCTCTCGCAGAGTGACTGCTGGATATGGGCACCAGTGAACCCCTTAACCTGAAAAGGAAAAAGTGGGTAAAGATAATGGATGGATGGATGGATGGATGAATGGATGGATGGATGGATGGATGAATGGATGGATGGATGGGTGGGTGGGTGGGTGGATCATTGGAAATCATGTTGGTGCTGAATGCTATTTTATTTGAGGCAAGCTGTGTTATATTTTTAATGGATTCAACTAAATAAAATTAAACCAACTGCATTTGTGAAAAAGTGTTGGTAACAAAGGGCTCTGTCCCATGGAAGCATTAAACACAACCACTACTAAATTAAATTAGCAAAAGCCTCTCTTCATGTTAGATATATCATCTCTGACATCTCACTGTTACTGTTTTAGCTCCTGATGTCATGGAACCCATCAAGAATGTGAAGCCTAAAGACAGCGGCACCTTGACGGCAGAGTTTACCCTGAAGACGGGGGCGACTCATTACATCATACGCATTGAGAACATTAATGGCTTCTTCAGAGAAGACACCGTGTCCTCCTCCCCTGCTGAGCTTAGCAATCTCAGTCCGTACACAGAGTACTCTCTCAGCATCATGGCTGCAAACAGTGTTGGTCGGAGTCAGCCATCGATTTCTGTGACTGCAAAAACAGGTATTGTTGATTGCCATATTAGACTATTTATCTTTTCAGAAGATTTTTATGTATTTCTGCCTCCACTGCTGTGAAACAAAATACAAAGAAAACAAAAGGTCCAGAAGGCAGTCTATATAAAAGAGTTTTGTTTTTATTAAGAAACCCACAGTTGCTTTCTCTTCATTCCCACCTGCCCTGCAGAAGTCAATTGATCCACATATTGTAACATAAAGCCTTCATAAATAGTTTTGTGTACACGCATCATTGGTGCATATCAAAGTCATTTTCTTTTATCCAAGAAATGTATTAGCATCCCCGAGGGCCTTCTCGTGTATCAGCTGTAACTTTACCTGAACTCCTCTGTACATGCATAAAAGAAAGCTTGCTTTTAGTACACAGCTTTCACAACTCATCTCCATTCTCACCTAAAGGGAACATTTGATCCTTATGAGGCAACAACATAAATCACACAACAATAAGTTTCACAGATTTATATTCAGTGTAACATTATAGAGCTCATATCATAGATCCAATGTTGCTGTGCCCTAGATCTGAATTAAGATCAAACTCTGGACTTCTCTTTGTGACCCATCTTGTGTAAAATATCACTAAATAATAAGCTTCTTAAGCACTGGGGTCAACTCAAAAATCAATGTCTAAATAAGGAATATAAAAATGTTTTTATTACTGTAGATAATAAGAGTCATTATTAAATATTGTTAAATGGTGATAATCCTTTAATTTGATTCAAAAGCAGCACTTTATTTGAGTTGTAACTTGGGAATCAAAAGCCTTCCTAACAATATATTATGCTGTTTTTGTTCTTCGTTTGTCTAGAGTCCACACAGGAACCAACACTGGTTGGAGTTCATACAAGTTTTATCCGTTTAGAAGTTTATCTCACACGTAGAACTTATGAAACTTTCTTCTCCTCCACAGTTTTGGCACCTCCTCAAATCTCTACTTCGTCTCCCAGCAATGACAGCATAGTTGTATCCTGGACTCCTGTTGCTCATGCCATCCAGTACACCTTGTCTATATACAATTTTGCCATGAATGCTGAGATGAAATACAACACATCCAACACAAGCCTGACCTTCCCTGGGCTTGATGCGGGATCACTCTATGGCATCGGAGGTTTCGCGTGGGACCCAGAGGGCCGAAACGGAGAAGGCAGTTTGTACGTCAACCAAACAACACGTAAGGAGACACTGAGACACCTCCTTGTTTGTGATTTTACACTCAGTGCTAATGTTTTAACATCAGGACTCTTATCATTGAATCTGTGCAAAAATATTTGCATCAGTAAAATCCACTATTGTGTCAAGTAAAATGCAAATACTGTTATAGATCTACCCAGTATTGTCACAAGAGCAGACCTCCAACCATTAACTGCATTAACTGACTATTATAACTTATTACCAACAACAACAAAAACTTGTATTTTTAGATTGCCAATGAAAGTAGACTTTAATATTTAGGACATAATAAGCATTCTAGCTTCATGTGTATGTGGAAATCTGAAATTTCCACACACAAAAAAAAAAAAATCCAAGTTCCAAATAGCATAAACAAAAATGCCATATGTAGACATAGATTTTTGCAGTAAAAGTATTATATATATACTTTGTATATATATAATATCTAAAGTATCTTTCAAGCAGTTGCAGACATTTATATTTCAGTAATATAAATGGTTCTGTGCTGCATCAAAATTAACCAAATGTAAACCAATCTTGACCAAATACCTTATACTGTACATAGACACAGCCATTAGTAAGATGAACGAATGATCTCCACCCCTGTTCTTTTCTGAGTTTCTCTTCATAAAATGTGTTATTTTATCATCAGGACCTCCAACTCCATCTTCTGCCAATGTGTCTGTGGTGATGAGTAACAACACGGCTGGACTCTCTGTGTCTTGGGGACTTGACCAGAAGGTTTTCATCCCCACTGAGTATCATGTAACAAGTGACCAGGGTATAACCTGTAACAGCACTTCCAGCTCCTGCACCTTATCCCCAGTAGGCTGTGGAAAGGTTCACACCATTCAGGTCACTGCGTTCAACAAGGCTGGACCCAGCTACCCATCCGCCCCTGTGGTCTTCATCACCTGTGAGTAACAATGATATAAATGCGACGACTACTGACAAGTTCAGATAAGTCACTGCAGTAGGATTACAAGCTATACAATTTGTGTAGTTTTACATCTAAATACCACTGAACTATTTGTTGCCAGTAAATAAGAAAATAGCACAACATGACCATAACATGTGTTAAATAACAGAAAATAACAAAATAAGATACAATCTGACTGCAGCATAAAAGCATACAACCTAAAGACCAAAATTCATCCATCCAACCATTTTCTTCACCTGCTTTTTCCTTTCCTGGATGCAGCGTAACTGAGACCTTTATCATATATATATATATATATATATATATATATATATATATATATATATGGTCATTTACACTCACACCTTGGAGTATTTTAAGTTAAGACCAAAAGCAAAATAATATAATATTTCTCAAGCAGACAGTAACATCGCTGAATATTTATCCTATTAAATGTGCAGTGTACCAACAATATTTGTAAAAATTATCAAAATAAATCTTTGATTTACTTTATATGCACACAGGGTGCTCTGAGGGGTCAGCATCATGTAAGACAATGAGCAACATCTCTGTGTAAAGAGACGGGGGAGGTTGTGATAGAATATATTAAAGTCCCTGATTTAAATCCGTAGTTGTTCAAATTCATTCACACTGACTGTTTTATTAGGTTTGCATGTTGAAAAATGACAGATTGTTTCCATGAATGTGTTTAATTGATATATTTTAGAATTCAAACCATATTTTTGCAGTTGAAGCTTGCTTGACACGTCAAAACAAAGCCCAGATTATCACACTGTCAGTGTGTGATTAAGACTTCTTGTCTTTTGTCATCAGTCCCCTGCCCTCCAGAGTCTCTGGATCTTGTAAAGTCATCAGAAGAAAACTGCACACTGATGTGGAACACAGTGCCGTACGCTGACAGTTATGAGGCATTCATCAAGAGAGGTGACGGCAGTGAAGAGACATGTACCACCACGGGCAGCAACTGTACCTACCACTGCCAGTGTGGCTACACTTACCTGATGTCGGTGTTTGCACACAACCACGCTGGCAGCAGTCCTCAAGGAAAAGTTCTCAACTATGCCACTGGTGAGTAGCAACAGGATCTAAGTGGGATGTTACACTTATATTAACGTGTGTGTATATGTGTGTGTGTTTCAGTACCCTGCTGTCCTGAAAGCATTTCTGTGTCTGCTGTGAGCACTGACACTTTGGAGATCATGTGGATTGCTTCAAGGGGAGCAGAGCTGTATGAGACCCGGGCTGTGGACAGTTCAGAGGTCATCCTCTGTAATGACACAGCGCCAGTGTGCGCCCTCTCTGACCTCAGCTGTGACAGCTCCTACAGTGTGATGGTAACACCTTGCAATGAAATCAGTGGATGCAACCATGCTTGCAACTCTCACACCGGAGACACAGGTAGAAAACATTTATTTAAACGCGCTTCAAGTACTCTGTCGTATTTCACACTGAAGTTAAGCGTGATCATTTGCAACTGATGTTCAGATACAATATTAAGTTTAGATCAAATCCTTTATTTAGCAACATTTGTAGAAGAATCAAGCAAGGGCAAAATGTTAATGAAATTATTTTTACTTAATATTTGTTCTTAATAATCAAAAATAACATTTAGGCTTTTCTTAAATGATGAAAAGTTACACTTTTATTAATATTAGTTTGGGTAAAGAAAAACCTTCAAACGCTATAGAAAAAAATACAATTATCTCTAAAAAGCAACCTTTGTGAGGGATCAGAACGTTTTATTTAATATTGAGTAAAGACTTCCCTGCTCTGTTTGTTCCGATCAGCTCCCTGCATGCCTACAAATCTGAATCTGAGTTTGAAAAACTCTTCGTCCGTCCATGTCAGCTGGACAGCCAACAACAGGAATGCCACTTACACAGTGAGCACAGATGGAGGATCAGGCAGATACACCTGCACCACCAGTGGAAACAGCTGTGATGTCACTGACCTTCCCTGTGGCTCGACTTACGAGTTCAGCGTTACAGCATCCAGCAGCGCCGGCCAGAGTTTACCCAGTTTCTCAATTTCACTAGAAACAGGTGAGAGGTCAAAAGCTGGGTAACAAATACTCAGCAAGGTGACTGTCATGATTTGACCACTTTGTGTTATTTTAGTCTTTCACAAGATGTTCAAAGTTTGTGTTTTGGTGTACGTAAATGGCTTTGATTAGTTTCTATATTAATTGTTAAGTTGTCCGATTAAAAAGTGATCTACATACCTTAAAAGTTTTTTTTTTCTATTTGACCAGTTTTTAATATGTTTTTTTTTTTTCTTGCCACCTAAAAAATATAAACACCATAACAACGAACGGGTTAGAAAAATCAGATGACTAACTTCTAAAATGATGCCATCTTTTCCTCCAGAGCCATGTTGCCCTGCGACTCTAAAGGTTGAACAGGTGACTCAGTCCATGACGAACGTCTCGTGGTCTCAAGCCAAAGGGGCGCACTCGTTCATCACATCTCTGACATCACTGCGAGGTCACGCCAGCTGCCACACCCAGGATTCCCACTGCCTCATGGGATGCATCACCTGTGGCACAAACTACACCGTCACCATGGAGGCATTTAGTCTCAGTGGGCGCATGGCCAACTGCACCTATCAGGGCTTCTCGTCCAGTAAGTGATGTTTTGAGTACTTAGTTGTGTCTCCATTTGTCTCCATTGTGAGAGGTGTGTAGTTTATTGTGCATGTGAATCAATGTTCCATTACAGAGTTTTCCGTACAGTTTCAAAAGTTTGGAACTCCACACCCCAGTTTTCAAATGAGAAAGCTGATGGGAAGCAAAATGTCTTCAGCTACACAAAAGAAGTCCAGTTGCTTTGCTTTGATTGTTTGTTTAGATTGTTTGTTTTTGGATTTATGTCCTGGATGACTAAAAATCTACACCAGCATACAAAAACAACAAACTAACTGTTTAACAATTTAATAAGTATGAGATTTTTTTCAAAGGTAATGTTTTCAACAAAGTTTTTAACAAATACTTTTTATCTGTTAACACTCACAATTTGTTGAGGATGACTGTCAACTACTACCACCCCAGTTTTAACTCAATATCTGTAAAATTGACTGATCTATTGTCATTTACATGTTTGTTAAGGTTCAATAGCTGTGGCGATCATCTGAAATTGGGATGACAGCTAAATATAACCATCTGTTTACTGTATATTAATTTCTGACAATTTCATTCAAATCTGACCAGTGGTTTATGAGTAGTTTTGCTAACAGACACATGATGGGAAGCAAGTCCAATTACACAATAGAAGTCCAGTTGTTTTGTTTTTACATTTATTTATGTGATTTGTAGTTGTGTATTTTGGTTTTTGTATGCATTTACCTGCATTGGGATTGCAGGGAGGAAAAACAGCCAATAGGTGAAAGCAAAGCATCCCTTCTTACATTTCTTGTGTGCATTAATCGCTATGGGTCTTCTGCAGGCACCTGCTGCCCATCAGGTGTGCGCCTGTACAAGATGGCCAGTAATTCCCTGAGAGTTTACTGGCGCAGCACAGGTAGCAACCACAGCTCCACTGCAGAGATAGTGGGCAGCAGCAACAACTTCACGTGCACTGCACCTCCAGGTGAGAACAGCTGTGATGTTCCAAACATCCAGTGTGGGGACGTCTATTCTGTAGTGGTGGCTCCACTCACACCAGAGGGAGGCAAAGTCCTGTTCTGCCCACAGAGACTGTACTCAGGTATCACAGTTATGACATGTTTTATAATCCAGGCCTAATGCAAACGTTAAAAGCTGTGCACTCATGAATTTAAGCCAAAAACCTTTTAATTCACTATTTCTGTTTTTGCTTCCACAGTAACTTGTTCAGGGAGTGACGTTGGCACAGGTAAGTGAAGGATTTAACACGCTTAACTGTTTTTGGACATCTATAAAACAGATCTTGCTATGTGAACTAGACCAGTCAAAGAATGCAAAAGCTGTTGGATTTTTTTCTAATTTAATTTCAATCTCATGTCCTCCAGTGATTTACAGAGGAAAGAGAAGTGTTGACTAGTGTGTGGTAAGTTAAACCTTTATTCCATGCCTATTCAAACTGCTCAGGGGGCCACAGTTTCTGAAAGCCAGCAGCTCGGGGGCCGGACATCCAGCGATTAAAACCATTATGTAAATAAACCAAAGTTTACAGTGATCTGTTACCTTTAAAATGTGTTTATTACATTGAATCATAAATGCAATAAACAGAACCCAAATCCAGAACCCCAAAAAATAAAAACAATTTTTAATGAAGTGGGCCAGATTGAAGTCACCGCCTATTGAATAGCTCTGCTTTATTCAGACTGAAAAGGCATTGAGGCACGTAGGCCTCCTTTGCTTAATGGTCACAAAAGTTAATCAAAAACATTTCCTTCTCGTTACAAATGAAGTCATTACCTAAAACTAAAATGCTTTGTGAATCACTGAGATTAACAAACCATCACAGTATTATTTGCTGCTGCATATTTTGTGTTTTTACTTGCATTACATAAAATAATTTGTGGTTATTGAGTCCAGGTCAGAAACTAACGAAGCAGAGCTGAAAAACTTTTTCAGTAAAACAAGCAACATCCAGATGATCCGGGTCATGTTAGTGTCACGTTGCTTGGATATGCACTAACAGCAGTAATACTGATGGTTTTAACAGAGAAAAAAACGTGCATTATTTATTTGTGATGTGGTGGTAGGACGGTAGAGAAAAAACAGATATTGATTAAAAAAAACTGTATTTGTGACGTTTACAAAATGATTAATTTGTTTTATGTTAAAGTAAATATAAACCTAATTCCCAGGTTTAAGAAGTTTTGATGTGTTTCTGTTTTTCTTGACAGTCTTCTTCGCCGATGCAACTCGTCTTCCTCTGGCAGAATCCTTCTTCATCTGAATGTGACTGTTTAAAGTTAGGTTAAAATACATTTTCTAGGGCCATGATACATAAATAATTAAGGAAAAATACATATTTGAGAAAAAAGTTTACTTTAAAATCATGTTAAATTTTAAAATGATATCAGGATTTGCGATTTATGAAGTATTTAAGTACCTAAAAATATTAAATTTACATGTTCATATTATATTTTATGGTATAAAATCATGCCATTGATTTGAGTTCTCATCATAAAATATTTAATCTTCATTAAAACATTTTTGTCTCAGGCAAATAATTAAAATGTGAGGAATATGCAAATATTAACAATACGATGTGTAACTAATAAAAAGATAACCATAGCCCTACAAACTTGAATAATGCATTTACAATAATTTGAAATTTTGATAATGTTTATAAATCATCTATGAAAATATTTTTAGTTGCTTCAGCCCCAAGTAGCAGGCCTCCTGAAGACGAAGCAGAAACTGATCAGTGCACCTTTCATAAAATTGTTCTTGTAATTTTTCACTCTGCAGTTTTTTACTCTCAGGATGTATTCAAATGTAAGAAATGTGTGCCACTGTGTAAACCTGATGCATATTTCATTTGAATAAATAATCCAAGCATCAATATTGTATTTTGTGTTTTTTTTTCTTGCATTAGTTTGTGTTTGTCACTAAACAATTATTAAGAAATCAAAACTGCTCAGTGTTTCTACTAACCTGAGACATGCTCATCTTTCTGGTTATTATTTTAAAACAAGTTATTGTTTGTTTGTCTTTTTTTGTTTGTTTGGCCTAAAACTCTAAACAAACAGCTTCTCTGGAGTCAGTGTATTTTTTATTTATTTATTCATTTCTAATTATGAGTATTTAATTTCATCCCCACAAGTTCTGAACTTATGGCAATACAAAACAGTTAAACTAATTTATCAAACTATCTGTTATACACTATGGAACATTTATTTTCATTTACACAGTCATTAAGCAATACACCAGTACAAACCCATTAAATGCAGGGACAAACATGTATAACCAGAGTGACTACAAGTTTATAAAATCATTTTGAAACGAGTCAAAAACAATTAAAATGCATTCTCTGGCATGGCTTTTATGAAGAGCTCCAGTCTTTTTACAGCCCAAGTTCCAGTTGGCTCAAGTCCCTAAATATCTGAAATAAGCTCTTTGACATCATCCACAGTGCTGTGAATGGTGTGGGTTTGTAACATTATGCTGGGGATGGTTATCCACAGCTAATGCATGGCACTTAACTAAGCCAAGGAGATAGGATGTTGTTGAGACACACAAATCTTGGAGAGCTGAAGCAGCATGAAGGAAATTCAAAAAGTTTTTTTTGAGCCCAGACCCCCACCAAGTTTGAACTGCACATGTAAGTTTAAAGGCAAATCCATATTTAACGTCCAAAGACTTTCACAAAACAACTGAGAGTTTACTGAGTTCCCTCACAAACCCTCAGTCTCTCTACCAAGATCCTTTGCTCACAAAAAGCAAAATAGTTTTTGAGGAATCCTGCAAACAAAACAGAAACAAACAAACAGAAATTGACTTTTGGCCCAGTCTTGATTCTGATTTACAGCTGACTCCATATGTCAGTGTAACACCATTTGATTATTGTTAACATTAAAGTGACCTAATTTGTGTTGTTTAAAAAAAAGGCAGGGATGGCCTAATGCCAAAACCGTTTTATTATACATTTCACCTATCTTTAAAAAAAAAAAGACTGTCCTTCCCGTAAAATAGTCTCATCAGATTTCCCCTTAAAGTATCACTCACCAACTCAATGACCCAATGTGAATTATTAATATTATAAAACTAATCTTAATAAAATAAATTTTCTGTTATATCAACACAGTTTTATTTTATGTTATTAAGCTGTTACACCTCCTAAAGAAATGTATGTAAAATTACTAAAGATTGTGATATTATGCGATTTAAGTATGCTATACAATAAAAATGTTATTATACCTGTATATGACACAACAATTGTCAAGAGCTTATCTGACCAGAAGGTCAAATGTCACTGCAGACATTTTGAGTTTTCAGTAAGGATATTAACGGGACAATTACTACTTTTTAATATATTTTCACATCACAAATGTGAAAGTGAATGTAGAAAAGTAGCACATCTTTAAAATGTACAAAACCATTTGTGATTTTACTTCAGGGACAAATCTAATTTTAGTATTTATACAGTCAACTTGGAGACTTGACTTGTTGCAAGTAAACAGATTTAGCATTGAGACTGAAAAGGGAATTTAAATAAGTGAAAACATTATGGATTTCCCTAAATAACCTTTTTAGGATTATTTGTCTATAATATGACCCCAGAAATCATAACCTGTATTTTATAATTTGGAATTTAAACTGTCTATTTAATGATAATCTGAGCTCGGTTTTCATCATAAAAGTGAACCTGAATCAAATACCTGCTACTGTGATTTTTTTTTCTTGCTAAAGAGACTCTCACAACTTTTCTGACTCAGAAACTCAATTTTTCTTCAAACTCGCATGTGCATTGGACTTACTTCAACATGTGGTTACTACATCACCTGTAAAATGAGAAAATTTACATAAATTTAAATTTCCATGACTCAAAAGCAAAAGTTTGCCCTTGTGTTTGTTATTGCCAGGAAGATGTAACAAAACCATGAAGGAAATGATTTAAGATGTTAGTGTTAAGTTGAATTACAAGATGTTCAATACCTGTGACCTGTAACAGTGTCCACTTCAGAACAATATAATGGTTGCTGGAAAATACAAAGAAAAACCAAGGTGTTCACTTTGCTTGTCCTCATTCAGAGCAATTCAAAATTGTTCTTTTGTTTATTCAGGGCAGATAAAGTTTCCTTCAAGATCTATGACTCCTATCTGCTTTCATGTTGACTTCCTCTTTCTCTTAATAAGATACAAGCAGATGATAGCGCTTTATTCTGGTGTGATAATAAACCCTTTTTAGCATGTAGCCTACATAAAACCACCACCGGGATTTGAGGTTAACTTCACTTCTCATCCAAATAGATTATAAAACATGATTAAAACCCTGAGAAAGCGACAAGGAAAGGGACAACCTTGTTACAGTTCCAGTAGGGTGTGTTTCGTCCGTACCTCTCATTTGGATGAAATTCCCAAGATTGCATTCCTGTCTATAGTTTCAGTGACACTTTGCGCCCTTTTCTTAGACAGACACTCCCAGGCCTTTCTCTCTGGAGATCAGGTCATTCACTGTGTTCTCTGCTATTGTTACATGAATAACCCCAAAAAGAGAAAAAAAAGAAAAATCCATAAACATATGTTGCACTCTTCCATTAGAGGTCTTCCACCTACTGTAACTTGGGTGAGGAAGGACTGATAATAATAGTAATAATAATAATAATAACAATAATATTAATAATAAACACCATTCACATAACTCCAGAGTTAAAAGAAATAAACAATAAAATGGTACAAATAATTAATAGAGTACTTTTGTGTTGTCCCTGTATCACAAGATTTGTTGATATAAATATGTGCATGTAGGTGCAAAAGTTGTGTGTGTGTGTGTAGATCAGCCATTGTGTGTAAATTGTGCTTCTCGTGAACTAAAAGTATCACTCAGAAGTTCCTGTTTTTAAACAAAGAGACTAGTCTTCCTCCTTTGGAGATAGGCACCAGAACCCTGCAACCCTGCAACCCTGCATGGAAAAGTGGGTTAAAAAACAGATGGATGCCTGGATGGATGGAAGGATTGACTGTAGGTCTGAATTGTTAGTGAGTCAACTGTGCTAAGCACT